TGTTGTTGTTGTTGTTGTTGTTGTTGTTGTTGTTGTTGTTGTTGTTGTTGTTGTTGTTGTTGTTGTGTTGGTGGTGGTGGTGGTAGCTGCTGCTGCTGCTGGTGTGCTGCTGGTGTAAATGCCTGCTGCTGCTGCTTCCGCAAAGGAAATGGAAGTGACCCTGATGTGACCCCGTCGCATCGGGCCCCCCCCTTGCAGACTAACAGTTTTCCAGTCACCTGATGTGACTAATATTGTTGACAGTAGCCAGCCAGAACGTCTCTGGATCCGCTCCCTTGGGTCGTCCTCCGTCCACTTCCCGCGCCGTCCCTCCTCCAACCCTACGCCGATATACGTGTGTCTCGTGCGCTCGGTCGAGCCGGAGAGGTGGCACAGCTGGAGGAATCGATTCGGGAAAACCCGGGCGTTCCGCTGGCCTTACCCGAGGAGAGCGTTTCCTGCACTGCGGTCGGTGGGTTTGAGCGTTTCCTGCCCTGCCGGTCGGTGGAAAAGCGTCTGGTTTTACGGTCGGTGGGAGGAAGAACGTGTTACGGTCGGTGTCTGGGACACATGGAGTCTTTTCGCGTGTTTCTTTTTGGGGAGATCCAGGCGGCTGGTGGAAGGTTGGAGAAGGGGCTGAGGTAGGAAGTGAGAGCGCTGGATCACTTGGCGTTGATGTGTTTTTCTTGCTTTTGCTGACTGGGGCAATGACCAAAGCAATTCGTATCGTTGATTGCTGTAAGTGGTTATTGTTGCAGGTCAACTGGGGATGCCAAGGGCAAGTCACTTGAACTAGAATGAACTAGACAGGTTTTCCTTGAACAAAGCGAAGTCACCGGCACCTCCTGGCAAAATCGGATCGTTGGATGTTTGCCAAACATGCAGGAGTACATGTGGCAGATCAGCCGAATTCCAGCCTATCAGGCTGGACTCTGTCAGTTCTCGTGCCAATTTGCCCTCTCATATTAGGGGTTGCAGGGGCATAGCGGCAAAGCATACTAATGTCAAGAATTGGATACGTAATGTAGTAGTTCAAGAGAGTGGCTGAGACGAGCAACTTGTTTCTGGTAGATGATGGTTGTTGTTTTCTTCCTGACAGCTTATTGATGGTCGAATTCATTCTACATCGTCTGACTTGTTCTTTTTTCTGTCCTTTCCTTCTCCACTGATATTGGTCATTGAAGCTGCTTGGACCCACATGGGGCCAACAACAATCAACCGGCTTTCCACTTTCAACAACATACACTCCCGAAAACTAACATGGAAGTGGAAAACCACATGTTTGTAGTGGAAAATTGTCTTCCGAGGGGCCATTTTCCATTTCCATGTTAGTTCCAGGGAGTGTATATCCTTTCAGCATCTTTCAACGAGGTTTGGAGTCCAACTATCCGATGCCAGTGATGCAACGAAACCCAGGTAGTTCGTTGGTGGACCACTGCCCATGCCCCCCCGCTGTAGCCGATGACTACGTGCACTAGGATCCTTTGTTGGGAGGTTGACGTCCCTGATAGCTCCATTCTGTTTGGAGCTCAACCCGCTTCCACGACCACACTGACGTGACACATGCCACCGTTGACTTGTCAGGCTCGGGTCTCCTGTTGGAACTTCCTCATCAGCTACAAGGAGGGAAAGAGGGTTCTGGCGGGCCATCCCGATCCAACAATGGGGGTGAAATTCGTAGAGTTCTTAGACAACTATAGACCCTGGTTTAAGGTGATGTTGTTTCTCCCTATATGGGAATATGATGGGAATATGTGATTCCAGGTTCCTCAAGCAAATCCAAGAGACTCTTGATAAGTTGGTGAATATATGTGAATATCATTAACACCTCATAGGCTGAAGACGTTGTTCAATCCAACTTTTTTCTTGGGGGTATGAATCAAAAGTCCAGCCTCTTCGACCAGTGCACTCTAGAGATTTAGGGTGCAAAAATACACAAGTCGAAGATGACTGAAGAAGAGCCTCCAGCCAAGAAATTTGGACGATGAACTGAACAGCAGAAAACTAAAAGGAACTATCTATTGGCGGTTTCACTTCTTGTAGAACTCACTCAAGTGAGGGGTGTGTGGCATGTTTCGTCCCTTGAAACGGAATTGTGCAATCTAGTGGGAAGAAAATCCAAGTTGTGGTAGTTGTTCTTTGATGGGTCAGAATAGCACAGTCGACCTTCTACGGTTCTTGATGGGTCAGCGGACTCGAGCTGGGAGGAGACAGTGACCTCATGCGGCTCCATGTTTAGTGCCTTGAAGGATCAAAGTAGAGCCAGTTGCTGCGAGATTCATGTTTTTCTGTTTGTTTCTTTTCTTTTGTGAGGGGCTGGTGACCAGTCAGTCCAAGTAATTCATTCTTGGGGGCATGTGGCATCTTGTGTTTTGTGATTGTTAGTGGGTTGTGAGGCTGTGAAAAGATCAGTACTGTAATTAGTTTACAGATGCATGGGCCGGGATTCAGCTGTTGGTGGAGTAGCTAGACGACCACTCCACTTCAAGCAGGTAGATGGTCATCACCTTGTGGAGTTGGGGGGATATAAATCTATACCCTAGGGCTCCAAGTTCCTCCTCAGAAGGTATTTGGACCCTCCAAACCCACCTCAAACACCTTCTCAGAAGGTACTTGGAGCCCTAGGGATAAGCAGGTTAGTAAGCAGGTGTTTGATTCAAAACACAACATGTATAGGATTGAGGGCTGGGGAACACATGAATGTTTGTGGGGAGGACATGTTTGAACATGAATGCCCTGAATTGCCGAGCACTGGTCGCAGTATTGATGTGTCCCCAGTAGTCAGTTGTTGGTCTACACATTTACCCCTATAGGGCTCCCGGCCCACCGTTTCGAAGATGGTTGGGGTGGGTGCCAGGGGGGGTCTAACCACCGAACCTGAGGATTGTAAGTGGTGATTTTTGCCGTGTGTAAATAAATCAACGCATGTTCAGCCTGTTGATGGTTGTTCCTGAAGCGTTGCTACCAGGGCCCCCTGGTTTCGGGGTGTCCAATTATAGCTCCGGATGTCCATTCGCCACCCCCAAACCCGGGGGGGCCCTGGTATAGGTTGGTTGATGTTGCAACCTCACATGAAGCGGACCTAACATCGCCCTGCCAGGGCTCCGCGACGACTGGGATGTTGAGAGGGACCGGTCCCATGGGAACGAATCCTTGGTTGAACGACTTGGAAACTACCCATGCAGTCTTTTTCCAACATCAACTGGGTGTTTCCATCGGTTTTTGCATTTATTCCGATGAATGATCATGGTTTGAGATCCTTTACGCAAGTGATTGGGACTGGGGGGGGAAAAGCATCCGGACTGGGTTTTTGATGGCAGCGGGTGTTCGTCAATTGGGGGGAAACGCCTTCGACATCCCGAGACTCGACCTCTTCAGGAGCTCGTCAAGCGGACCTCGGTGACGCTACAGTCATTTGACCGTGGGTCAAAACCACCCGGAACTCACCGAGCCTTGACCTCCTGGGACATTCATCCATCTCTCTTCCTCTTAGGAACGCGCGAAGCCGTGCTCGCGCGTTCCTTCGTTCGTGGAACGCTCCGCACGAATCCGCGTGACCGGGGTCGAGGCGAGTTCGGGAAGATCCAGCGGGCGGTGCGGAAGTCGCAGATGCTGCAGAAGCTCCTCGCACTGATCCTGGAGGTCGGCAACTACTTGTGCCTCGGTGTTGAGAGTTCCGACCCGAGCTGTCGGGTGGAGGCTTCGGTGGAGAGTTCGAAGGAAGTTCGGTGGAGAGTTCCCAGAAAAGGCGCCAAGGAAATAGACAGCCCACAGAAGTTTCACAGGGTTCCAGTCCATTCAGTTTGGCTCTCTACATTGTTCTACACCTTCGTGGAGCTATCTGCACATAAGGTGTACAATGGATCATCCACTGGGATAATTAGGACTGATAATGGCCGCCTAGGCAATGTTTCAGGGTCCATGTCCATGTCAGTCTTCAAGGGGTAGATGTTTCCTAAGATGCCACGACCCTGCTTCTTTGCTTCCCCGTGCCCATTTCGTCCCGGAATTCAAAAATTTGTAGAACAAATGACTGCGGAATGATGGTCAGATCTTGCTTGGTGATGGAGTTCCATCCAACAAGTTGGCCGTGGGTCATGGCAGCACGATACTTTGGTTGCACCGCACCTACATGGAAGGTCAAGCTACATGGTGGACCAGGGCTCCAGGTTTTGACCCATCCAACAAATAATTGGCTTGGTTGATACTTATATAATGTTAGAAAATCAGACCCAAACGCTCCATGTATGGCATATGTACCTACATTGGACCCCCTGGCACCCACCCCAACCCCAATGTATGTAAATATGCCATACGTACATGGAGTGTTTGGGAGATATAGCTTGTGTTGTTGTTGTCAATCTCTGTACCATCGACCTTTGGAGTGAACCACCTGCTGTCCGGCCGCTCCCCCCCCCCCCACGCGGTCTCCCGCATGGCATTCTCGCAGACCCAAGGAACGGTGGCACCGAACGTGGACAGGCGGATGGCTTTGACCTGGAGACCTTGGGAAAGTTGGATTCCGTGAAGGACAACGTCACTTGGAAGGGTGGAAGGGGCCCTACCGGTGTTGGGCTCTTGACCCTACAAACAGACGCACCAAACCAACAACCCCAAGCACATGGTGTGAATGTGGCGAGGAGGTCTAGGGATGGGTGTATGAACATAGGGAGACCTCCCAGGCATGGCAGCAACCTCCCAAGTTCGGCGACCGGAGCGAGACTTCGGGGGTCACACAGCATCAGACCGGCATGGCCCGGTCTGTTCATTGTCTCGGCGGGTCGTGTTTGGCTTGGGCAGCACCCCGCTGCTGGACCCAAGAAAGTGCAGACCTGCAGATACTTCGAAGCAAACGGAGCTTGGACATATCATTTTCCAAGCAACGCTGAGTCTTTGCACCACCATTTCCCGTGCTTGGACACATGTCCTACGTGAGCATACGTGAGCAGCAGACCAACTCGGCAGGAGCATCGAAGGAATTGGAAGGATCGACCTATTGGTCAGGTCAGGTCCCGCTGTAAATCCATCGATCCCGTTCCTCGTTTCTCATCGACCAGGGACCCACAAAGGTCATTTCAACTGATGGTGTTTGGGAGTTGTTTGCTTGTTTATCTGTGTTTAAGGTTAATTTAATGTCTCAAACGCATGTCGACATCAAGCACAGCCATTCTACCCAGGAAATGTGTTTCATCTGCAAAACCATTTTTGAGGAATGGGGACACCCCTTTCAACAAGAACAGGTGGAGTGCGTTCGGTTGCCCTTGTTACTTTTCAAGGGATCTTCGGCTTGGGGGGGGTCGGGCATTGACCCATCATCCTGTCACACTGAAGCTCTTCCAACACCTTGCACACGCATGCATGTCAGTATGCACATGTTCCAAGGTCGCTCAGTCTCGGGACGTGACTTGGCTTTTACTCAGCACCATCGAGGGGACAATGTGCTGATCATCCATATGACGACATACCTATCCCAGACACTCCATGTATGTCATATATGCCGATCAGTTGGGGTGGTTTGAGGGGTCAATGTAGGCATATATGGCATACATGGAGTGTTTGGGTATGTTGACTCCATTTTTGTCATTGCTCAGCTATCTGAGGGTATAGTGCCCGCTAGCTAAATGCCTACATTTGACCTCTGAATACTGACACCATCCCAGTGTAGCTATACATTCCAGTTCCATCAGTCATGCTTGGGATATCTTTATTCCGTGATCCCCGAATAGATAGTGGCACGCTTTCCAATACATTCTTAGTGGTGATCTACCTTTCTATCTATTTGGAGGTCCATATACCCCTTTTGGTGGACTTCCTCAGGAACAGTTCATACTTCCTGGACACCATCCGAGCGATTCAGACACCCCTGACTTCCAAACCACCCTGGGGTGCGGTGTATGCAATTTGTCCAGTCGCAGACAGGTCTTAACACTGGGTGTTTCCAGTTCCCAGAATGGTGCTGTTCCAGTTCCCAGAATGGGGTCAACCTTCCAGAATGGCTTAATTTTTCGGTCTGAACTATTATATATAAGTTATAAGTGTTATTGAACTAATACTGTTATAGTGTGATATACTGTGATATCTTATACTATAATACTACATATTGAACTACAGTACAACATTGTTCAAAGCTTACTGGGCTTACTTTGAGCTGATCTGCTCTGTCCACGAGCTGTGGCTTGGACAGAACATCGCCAAAGCACGTGGCAGCAAAAACGAGCCGAGCTGAGAAGTTTGGCAATCGAGAAGTACCAGGACCATCCACTATCCACTCCTTCACTACTTCGGGTAGTCCAGCCCAGGTAACCCGAAGTAGTGGATAGTAGTTCAGCTGGAGTAGTGGATAGTAGTCACTATCCACTACTTGTACTATCCTGGCTGGACTACTATCCACTACTTCAGCTGAACTACTATCCACTACTTCGGGTTACCTGGGCTGGACTACCCTCCACTACTATCCGGCATCTCCAGCCAGGATGGTCCAGACAGGGTGGTCCAGGTAATGAACGCCAAATGGAAGATTGACCCCAAACAGGTCGCTCGACCACCCCCATTTCGGACCTCAGCTCCAGCGTTGGTCACGGCCCAGGTCCCGGTCATTGGTCCTCAAACGTCACAGGTCACGGATGGAGAGTAGGGATGAGTAGCTTTAGTGATAGAGTGACACTCCCTGGAAGAGATGGGGAACCGTGGATGGCATGGCCTAAGCGACGATTTTCCCAAGACCAAACAGCCTACCAAACAGGTGGTGGTTTTCCACGGTATCATGATTCCAACAAGTGTAGGTGGATTCCACCCGAAGCACCTCTGGTAGGTTCTGGCTGGATTCCTTCCAGATTGCCAGAGTTCCAAGACCCGGACATTCCATTTGTTCTGTTTTGTGGATGAATGGGATATTCTATACCGTCCCAGAAATCAGACCCCAGATGTCAATCAATCCACCACCCGATCACTGATCGGGAGTCAGACATGTCTGAGCAAGTGGACACTTTCCATTCCCTAGGGCCTAGGCCCTAGGGATCCAGTCGTACCTTCTCAGGTACGGTGATTGGAAGCACTCTTATGTAGGTTTCGAGCGTCCAGTCCTACCGAACCTGAGAAGGTACGGTGATTGGATCCCTATAGGGATTGGTCCTGCTCGACCGGATTGCTCGACCGGTTCTATTTCGAGGCTCGACACTTGATCTTCGAAATGTTCTTCTGCGGCGCCCAGGAGAGAGGGGAGACAGATGGGAAGGGCCTATCTATAGATCCAATGCAGAGGGCGTGGCCGTGTCGCCCTGGCTCACATGGTTCGTGGTGGATTGGATGCTCACCAGCATGAAATAGAGAAAAATAGATGTTCTACCACCTGCTAGCCTTAGCTCAGCTGCCCTGTTGTTGGTTTTGCGATGAATCATTCCATCCGCTTCATGGCTCGGGAAGATCGTTAATGGATGTTAATGGTATTTGACAGATTCCAGATCCTTGTGACAGATTGCAATCCAAGGTTTGGTGGACTTTGGTTTGGTTCGCCCGTTCGCCGTTGGAGTACTTTTTACTATATAGAAGGTACTTCTTGCACATTGAACATGAAAGAGCTCTCACAGGAATCCTCTATCTATTTGGGCACCCATGTGTATTATCATGGTTTTTGTGTTTTTTTTATTGACCGTTTCACTGAACCACCACCAACGTCCAACCGAGCCACGCACTTTCTTTGCCGAACTCGCCTCAGGAGTTCGGCCAACTCGCCAAGGAGGACCACCTGCGCTTCTACGACCGCGGCGAACAGCTGTTGGAGGCGAGCCAAACGGCTTCGGTTCGGACGCGGACGGGGCGCGCCGTAGTAGGCGCGCCGCACGCGTTCCCGCGCACAACATGACGCGGGAACGCGCTGCGCGGGCATACGGCACAGGATGATAGGTCAGCGAAATATTGCACATATAATTAGTGGAGATGGTGTGTAGATTGTCTCGAAAAGATCGGCTTGGGATCATTGTTGATACTACCATTTTGACAGAGTTGGATTGTCATCGCTTTAAATTAGATGCTTTTATGTGAGTTTCTTAGGACAAAAGCCGCTGCTTGCGTTGCCAGTCATTTTTTGGGGGTCCCACAACAATTGACCTTGAAAAGTTAATTAGCTGTCTTTGAAGCTATAGATGTTTGATGATGTTTGTGGCCAAGACTTCCAACAAGTTGACACATGGAGGTCTGTGAAGGGAGGATTCCTGGAGGATTCACCAGCAACTGCCAGCCTACTTTCAGAGAATGTTTCTGAAGATTCCGCTTTCTGATCCACTCTTCCCAGGTAAAGAAATGAGAAAACGGGACAAACCTGTTCCATCATGTTTCTGGAACCCATTTGACCCCTGCTTGATGGGAAAAAAACACATTTTGTTGGGTCGTTGGTGGTGTAAAACAAATGCCGTTGTGCAGCTTGAAGCTTTCCGAAAAGTGCCTCCTCCCCCCAACGCTTTCCTCACCAACAGGAGCTGTGTCGTTTTACGATCCACACCCTAGCGGCCCTTGCTCACGGGTCGCTCATCCCCTTCGTTGCGGTAATGGCCAGCCTGTCCGGCTAGAATTGCCCCTGGCGATATGGAGTCCGTCGCATCCCTACTAGAACATCTATGTATAGGGTCTGCCCCATTACCAGTAGCTTTCAACCTACCCATCAACAAGCATCATCATCATCCTCATCCTCATCCTCATCCTCATCATCCAGTATCATCCTCGACATTGTCGCCATCCTCGTCGTCATCATCCTCATCATCCACTGGGCCCTTTGCTAATAGCAGGACCTCTCAGTTCGACGGCAAAGGACGATGGAAATAGACCAGTCTACCCAGCCAGGGCCAGGGGGTCTCCCTAGGTCAGGGGGTCTCCCAAAATATGCACCTTTGAAATAGATCATGTTAACCATTCTTCTACATTCTTCTCATTTTGGGGAGCTCCCCGCTGGTACTTCTCAGATTATTTTGCACTATCTGAAAACATGGGTGACGTGGTTCTCCTTACAGGTGGTGTGTATTGGTTAGAAGTGGGCCTCAATCAGGATTCTTCAGGATTACAACATCACAACGTTTGGGGAAAAGGACTTTTGACAGCCGCCTCTACATACCCTAACCATACCGGCGCAGGAGCTTGGCCCCTTGATGAAGAGCGTGAGCCGTGCGGTGCAACGCGACTCCGAGGGAGCACCTCGGCCAGTGGGGCGAAGACGGATCCAGGAAAACGACATTCCTCTAGAAACATGGTGTTCCAGTCAATGACTTGAACGTTCCGGGGTCGGTTCTGCTTCCGAACAGGCTTTCTTTTTGTGTGTTTAAATGGTTTTGTGGATATATACGCGCACCACAAATCGGAAATGACAAGGAAGCACAATACCTGGGGCTGGCAAGGAAGGTCAAGGACGTTGACAGTGCCGGACGAGCGGGTGGGATTGGGTGAATTTGCCAAAGGGCTATCCTGCCTGCGCATACATAGTAGGTGGTTAATTAAAGCATCTCAGTGACGTGCATTGTTTTGGGAGAGCTCTCTTTGATGCTCAAGGATACTAAGGGAGGTTTCTATCCCAAGAAGTGATGCCATTCACTACACTCCTTGACCCAGGATGGTGGGTGGATCACTTGCCCAACCATTTTTTTGGGGGGGATTGGGAACACCCCAGTAAAGCAGAACAGGTGGGACGACCCGGGTCTTTTCCAAGGAAACTGGGCCAGTGGTCAGCGTCACCAGACCCTCTTTGACCCTCCAAGATGGCTCAAATAGCCACCGCCAGCACCAGCATCGAGCAGTTTTGCATCATAATGCCTGCAAACAAGTCAGCATGTTTATCCATCGGACCCTGGGTCCTAGCACCCGAACTCCTGAGACCGCCAGGTGCATAATTAGGCAAGCCAGCCTCCACTAGCTCATCAGGACATATACCCTGGCGGGTTGGAGGCCACATGACCGTTTTACTGAGACCTTGAAGATGATGAAGAACGTCAGGGTCGGCTTGGAAGAGGCCCCAACCTCAGGAGGTAATTGGAGTCATAGGGAAAAGTAGGTGGGGATGCAGACGAGGGATTCAATGTATAAGATTTGGACAGTCATTTCGTGAAGACGCAACACCTTTGTGACTGTGGGGCGGAGCGGAAATTCAAATCCTAGTTCGTGGTTGCCTCAAGAGAATGCCCTCTAGACAACCAAGAACATTCATCGAGATGTTCAAAATGTTTTGCAGAAGATATAATTAGGCAGCATGTGACTCATCATGTGACTATGAAATACAAAGCATCGCAGGTTGAAGATGTTCAGGCCAAACAATCTACAGTCCGAAACACTGCCGCAGCTAGCTCAAGCAGTGGACTTTGAACTGATAACAGTTGCACCTTGGTCTTCAAGTTGTTTGACCAAGCTGTTTTCGGCCGACCCTGGTGTAACGGGTCAGGCCTTGCTCGGTGTTCGCTGGCGTCGCGACCGCTAATATATAGCTATAGGCAGAGGAAAGCCTACGGGAGCTGAACCAACAGCCACTGGGCCGAACCGCGCGAGGAGGCGACGGGAAGGTCGACGTCAATGGGAGTCGGAGTGTCTGAGATATTGGAGCTTGGCACCCCGAGGCTGTCACCACTGGCTGGTTGGCACCTGTGTTTTTTTTGTTGTGGGAAAGTGTTGTTTTTTGGAACGGGTGTTGCCAGATCAACTGCGTTGCACATTTGATGCTCCGCCATCCATTCCATACTACACCATTAATCCTGACCACTGAATAGGTTCAATGATCTCTGCAAATTGAGAACACTTCCAGCCATGCTTCTCACACCCATCCCATCCCTCGCCCCATTTGGATGCTCCAACAAAAGACACCTTCTGAAACCCAGCTATTCTCAATTCCTTCATCAACCAACCAAAACCGCCTCCTGTTTCTCCTCCCCAATTCCGCGCCCTCCCCAACCACTCGCGCGGCCCGTGGAAATCGTGCCGGTTCTACCCCAGGCTGACGGAGCAGCTGGAGGCGCTGCAGATGGCGCTGGAACTCACCGATGACCCGGCGGATCCCTTGAGCCTTGGACCGGATCCGGAGCTTTTCACCCGGAACGGTTCGAGTGGAACCAAGAGAGGTTAAGTGACCCTAGTTCGACTATCCCAGTTCGGTACCCTGGTGACGGGTCCGTTCGTTCAGGTCACTAGCCACCTCTGCTGGGAAGGTTTTACATTTTTTTGTGCCCCCGCGGCCCGGTATATGGGTAGAATGGGGAAAGAAGGCATAGGCTTCGGCCTAGTGAGCCGGACGGCCTAGGCCCGGATCCTATCAGTATACGTATTGTAGAGGTAGAGGCGGGAGTTGGAGAGATTTGTGCGTGTGTCTTGATTTTTGGTGTGGTTCTTTTTGGCTGAGTTTTCTGGGGGTTGATGGAGGAGCTTGCCTGAATATTTGATATCTGAATGTTATTGAATTGTTGCCGCGGCCAGGCCATGGCATCTTGATGAATAACCCCCATATGAAAGATATGAAGTGGTTGTTCAAATTCATATCGGTTTTTATAGGTGGTTCAATCCCAATCTGTGTTTTAATCGATGCAAGGAGTCGATCCTCCTTGCGAGCCTTGTCTTTTTCGCTGCAGGAAGCTGCACATGGCGGTGGAGCTGTCAACGGCCAAAGCGGAGATCAAAGCCTTGGAAGAGCAGGGCACCACGTCGCTCGTCAAGATCGGTGCGGACAGTTTCACTGTGGAAGAGGGCGGAAGATAGTGTGATTTAGGAGGGAGGAGGGTTCAAGACAGAGGGGATACCCTTTTTGGGGTGGCCTTTGGGCATTTTTGCGTCTATGGCAGAGTTCCAGGAATCAGGCACGTGAGGAATTGTGGAAGAACTGTAAGACAATGGAAAGTAAAAGGACGAGGTAAATGCAGAACTGCACTGGTGTGCTATACTCGGATATGCTGAACCTTCAAGATCAACAGAAGCAAGAACCAACCCATCCTACGTGCCACCTACGTACTGTAGGAATGCTGCGGAGAGCTCAGCTGGTGATTTGGAGCATGTCTCCTTCTGGGGATCTTCTTCCAGCTAAAGGTTTTTTGCACATCACGAGGTTTGGGAGTTGGGAGAGAGTGACTTCACAGAACTGTGAACATTTTCCTTGAGAAGTATCCGACATGTTTCTTGAAATCAGTGTTGTCCCTCTTTCATCCAATTATTGCCAAGATGTTCAGGGTTTCTCCGCAAACTTGGTTGGCGCTTCTTCGAGGTGTCGAGAAGACTATGGGAAGCTCATGAAGTTCTTCAATCACACGGGTATGAGACCTGACTGAAACTGTTGCTTCAACGGCTTGGGATTGGCCCAGCACCCGGGAGGAAAAGGGAATCCCAAATTTCATTACACAGACACTCCATGTATGCCATATATATGTTATAGGTTTGCACACATTGGGGTGCTTGAAAAGGGATCGATGTAGGATATTGTAGGCATAAGTTCAGTGGATGGGGAATGGTGCCGGTGGTGGGCCAATTCGGTCGGCTGGTTTCGTTTTAAGACATCTTGAGTTCCGAGGTTTTTCACTCATCTAAACATTCCCTAGGGCTCCAAGTACCTTCTCAGACGGTGATTGGAGACGCTGTCATGTAGGTTTGGAGGGTCCAAGTACCTTCTGAGAACGTACTTGGATCCCTAGGGATTGGGAACATCTAGACATTGAAGTGGAGCGAAGTGGACAACGTGGACAACCGCCTGTTTGTGGAGGAAAATACAGGCTACTCAGGTGCTATAGGAACTGGTTTGTAGAGGCCAAGGAGCTTTTAAAATCCACCTCAGCCAGGACACAGCGGCTCAGTAGTGACTCAGTAGGTGTATATCGACCAAGAAGTGACTCATGAAACATGAATGGTCACATGATTATAGCAATATTGTCCAAGCTCTCCAACAAACGACCTCTCCCTCCCCCTGTCTGTCTGTCTGTCTGTCTGCCTGGCTGGCTGTCTGTCTGCCTGCCTGCCTGGCTGTCTGTCTGTCTGTCTGTCTGTCTGTCTGTCTCCCACGATGCCCATGCATGGCCGTGTGCAGTCTCAGGAAGAGTAGCGACTTCATCTTGCTCTGGGACAATCTCCTCATTCCGGAGGACCTGATGCTTGCTATCCCGCCCCTCTGTTCCAACTTAAGGAACACCTGGACCAACACTGGCTGGCGGCTTTCCCTCACTGGTATCATCATACTGCGAAAAATACAGATATAACCTAGAACCTGAATGACCTCTGTTTTGGACCACCAACCACCCAAAAATATTGCCTTTTCCTATCAAAGCAGAGGTCATGTCTGGGTTCCAGGCAGAGAAAAACATCGAGTCTACAGTCTACAGTACATACTGGTTCGAAGCTGGTCCACACAACGCGGAGCAACCAGGATTGTCTGGTGAAGGTCCTAAGCAGCCCTGTACAGAGCGGAACCCGGGATGAGCGGAAGCCCCGCGAAATACCGGTGTGCGGTGTGACACTCGAGTCCTTGGAGGAAAAAAGAAACGATTTCACCATGGGTGAAACCCCAATCTTCGTGCTCCATGGGTCAAAATGACCTACCCAGGAAACGTGGATAACATATGATAACATGCAACAACTTTCTTTGCCATTGGGGGTGTCCCCCACGTTTCACAAGAACAGGTGGACAGTTCGCTTCACCTTTAGAACGAAACAAATGGCACGGGAGTCAGATGCGGTCTTCGGATGGTAATCGGTCTGGGTGTTTAGTAAGCATGTCGAATGGGAAGACAGATCCCCTTACTACCAGGACCCTCCAAGGGGTGTCTAGCGGGGTGTCTATAGATATAGCCTCTTAGACTCTTAGATGTTAAGGTGTGTCCCAAAACCTGTTGGAGGGTCCTGGTACTTGTGAAGAAGCTGCGGATGTCCACTCGAATCGAAGAAACTGCTTTGGACCTCAATCTGCGAAACTTGACCAGCCTGTTTCTTGAAACGAACTCCCATTTCTATGTGCACCGGGTCGTCCGGCTGCTAGTCCATCTCTCGCCCTGGGTCTTAGCCGGGCACGAGTCTCGAGGCGAGGCTATGACGAGTCATGCGTCTCTTTGCAAGGCTTTCCACGCTGAAGAAGTACATCTTCCCACGCTTCTGCGCGCCCTCGGTGATTCCCAACTTGCACGACCTGCTGCTTCTTTGGGGCTTCCGGGCCGCCGAGCAGCAGCTCGGAAGATGCGTTTTCAGGGAGACGGCATCGAATCGGCGATGCGTGCAGGGGGAGAAAGGACATGTTTAAATCAGCTGTGAAGGTCTCAGGGTCAGGATCAAGAGGCGCTTTGGGGGGGGGGGTGGTTGAGATCATTTACACACTTCCTGAAAGTGTCATGAATGTGGATGAAAATCGTCTGTTGGATTCCTTGGATGACCATTTTCCGACCACCAAACAGTTGGGGAACTCCAGTTTCATCACTATTTCAAAGAGTGTAATACCACCGGCGGATTCTCGCAACGGGCAGGCGGTCGTCCCAGACACTCCATTGCATTGAAGGCTTTGCCTACATTGACCCCTTTTCAAGCACCCCAATGTAGGTATACAGACGTCCCTATATATACCGATCCCACACACTCCATGGGACTGCCATATATATACCTACATTGACCTCCAAAACCACCCCAACTGATCGGCATATATGGCAGTCCCATGGAGTGTCTGGGTATAGATGGGGTGTTTGGGCAGTTCAATGAAATGCTCGGGTTCCAGTGACAGGTTCGTGGGCTACTAGGCTACTACTGTGTTCAGGCTATCAGGCTTGTCGCTGAAGACCAAAGTGGACTCCCTCCAGTGCGGAAGCCAGGGGGGTTCCGGGCAACATCCTGACCTTTTTGTAGCAAAACCACTGTGGATAAAACATGATTAACACAAAAACACATCAAAAATCAACATATCATATAACCTATCGCAGATCTTCACTGACAGGCAAGTGTATGCTTTGTATTCTTATAGCATGACCCAAGCTTGAAATCAGTTTTATTGATGCTTAACAAAAAGGCAGCTGCAAGCAGCATCGTGTAGCAGTGTAGGGTTTCAGTCGCCTCAGCATCCTCAGGAAACCACCACGCAAGAGCCAAAGGGTACGCCGCAAGCGCCGAGACCGCGTGCCTACCCCGCAGCGTGCCAGCATTGGCGGGGTGTGTCATGGGGTGTCTTGCCGGATCGCAACTACTATAGTAGTAAGGAACTAGGGGCAGCCACCTTTTTCCCATAAGGACTATGGTTTTCGTCTTTGGAACTACTGTTGACCAGCTATAGAAGTGTTTGGTTGTGGTAACTGGATCACCTGGGTTGCAAAAAACGTTCAGAATAACATCCCATTCCCAGCAGTTCATCGATCGAATCCACCATTGCGAGGTATTCAGCGGTTGGAACTCAAAAGGACGAGCTCAAGTTCACGTAAAGGACCCAAAGCTGATGTTGTTTCACATCAAAGTCGGCTTTCTTTCAAGTCGGCAAGCCCATCAGCTTTCATCAGGAACGTGGCAAAGGGACGGGACTCTAGATTTGGACTCCAAGAGACCTGAGTGGGGGTGTGTATTAAATAGATTTAAATAGACCAGTCTCAACCAGGGGCGATCCAGGGGTCTTTCAATACACAGTCTGACAGGCGGATTCCGACCTCCTTGGGTGACTGGGCCCCTGAAGACCCCTTACATTGCAACAGCAACACCATGAAAGGTACAAAAACAGTAGAGTGGAGCCTATATGCAGCCTCGGCATTCCAACCTTGCAGGAAACTTGTGGCAATGTAACTCCAGTGGCTCCATTTTTGGGGCCGTTGGGGGTGGGGTCTTTTGTTTCAATGACTTCTGATCCACAAGTGATGACCAGTCCAATGGAACTCCTGAAGTCCCGGTACCAATCCCAATCAATACACGGGTCCCCTGTCCATCCTTCCGTCCCAATGAGTCCACGAGTTGGTGAATCAAAGGCTTCTGCCGAACAAGACCCAGACACGAATGGAATTGGATCAGATGTGCGGCCCTACATTGACCCGAGTTGGTTCACACCAATGTAGGTCATAGTTCCGTCCCACGGAGTGTTTGGGAGATGCAAAGGCTCTTGTTTGGCTATGTTTCTGCACTCCAAATGCGCTCTGATTGGCCAAACCCAACCTATTCCTCAGTGTCTAACCTGGAACACCTAAACCGCGCCTGAGCGACGCCGAAGCCGAAGCCGAAGACGCCAGGGCCACCGATGTCATGGCGGTGGTCACCGTGCACCGCTTCGGCGCCAAATGGCTGGGCGCCGCCCGCAGGCGCCCACAGGGCCGGTCGGTGTCGGTGACTCCGGCAGGACTGGGGAGCCGCTATTCTAACCCGTTTGGGATCCGTTTTCGTACCTTCTCCTCAGGTTCGGTACGACTGGACCCTCAAAACCTACATTGAGAGTGTCGGTCTCACATCATCTTCTGAGAAGGTACGACTGGATCCCAAACGGGCTTTCCAGCACTGGATGAAAGATATCACGATGTTTTGGGACCTTTGTTTGGCGCGTTGCAAGACAAAGGTCGAAGGCAAACGTTCAGTCACTGGATGAAAGGTTCACGATCTATTTGATGTTTCCACCAAAAAATGAGGGATAGAGTTGGCAGTTCTTCAAAAGGGGTCATGTGTTGCAACCATGGCGAAGCTTGGTGTGGAGGACGGAAACACATTTTGGTTGGCGGTTTAGCTCCGTTTTCTCCAAGACTGTGACTGGTTGAAACACATCTTCTGAAGCCTCGCTGGATTCTTTGCACCTAATAGCCTAGCCTAGTACAAGCATGACAAAAATTGGGACATCTCCACAAACGCTCTTGTGCGAGTATGATTCTATATAGGTTGTATTGCTGCCACAGATGTCAACTCTGCAAAACGCGAGTGGCTCTTGTCAGGCACTGTGCCTCCTTGTTTCATCGACCCCTCAAAAGAGCTATCCGCCCCAATAGCTCCATGGAGTGCTATCCATCGAGGAAGGCAAGATCTGCCCGTGTCACATCCACTCACTGCCAGGACCTTCAAAATGACCTTTTGATACTAACTATCCCAGGATGAGGTCACTTAGTCTGGCCCGGAATCAGATTACAAACAGAGACTCCAAAGAGGACACTGAAGGTCCTGGTGGAGGGTTCCTAACCACCCACTCCTAGCGGTCACTCCTGGCCACTTCTTTGCGCCCCAGGAAGCGCACCTTGACGTAAGCTGCGCACCTTGACGTAAGCTGCGCTCCGCCCTCTGCCGCTCCCTCTCCCGCTCGGTGAGGACGGTGTGTCGCGGTGTGTCCCACGATGGGGAAACCAGTTCCGTGGAGTTTCCAAATCCCTAGGCTTCCATGGACTCCCTAGGCTTCCAACAACCATTGTTATAATGGTCTAAATCCCGAAGCACTAGTGTTTTACGAATTTTTACACTACGCAACCAGGTCAACCTTTCTTTGAATGGTATTGGAAGCCCAATGGAATTGTAGCGCCTTCATGTTTTGGGCGGACACGTCACGGCCCCATTCAGGCAGTGAACGCCGGCAATCCCAATTGACATTGTAAAGATACACTTAGTAATATGGCCAACCACATCTTGCCTCTGAAGCGCGGCCAGATGATGTGCCCCCGCTGGAGACAGCAGCTTTGTCTGAGACAGCGGCGAATGCCGGATTTGCCCAGAATGCGTTGGCTCTTTCGCATGCGTTTGAGGCCAAAAGAAGATGGGTCAAGCAGTTCAGTTCGGCATTCACGATCCGGGACTTGAATGATCAACTCCAGTATGAGGTCAGGAACTCCTGACCTGCAAAAAGGGGAGGGACAAATGTGGTTCAATCTGTCCACCGCACTGTGCAACACTCAGAAGGAATTGGTTGAAGAAAACGTCAAGATCAGATCCGAGGATGTACACTCTGACAAACACATACAAACACCTCACATGGTAGAAGTGGATGGCATGCTCCCGAAGACGACTTTCCTTCATCCTTCATCCACCCTCGGGTGGTGTCACGCCACTAGCCACATCGTGGCTGCGGGGCAACGCCCAGAGCCCGGTGACCTCAGCGCAGTAGGTTGACCTCCTGTTAGGTCGTCCATTCTGTTGATGTTCGCTGGGAAGAACCACACCCCGGCCCGGGCCCGTTTGGGCTCCAGGTCGTACCGCATCGTTTCGAAGGTGGGACCGGTTGTGTGTGTGTGCCAGAAGGGTCCAGTCATACCGAACCTGAGGAGCCATGACCCATGGCCCCATGTCTTCGTCAACCAAGCTGCTGCGTTTAACGATGTTCTACGATGGGTATCTCAGCGATGTCCGTCCGACGGATGTATCGAATCTCGACGACCTGTTTGGGACTGAGGTAGATTTACCCAACTTCACCCCTGAAATCAACCGCTTCAATCCAGCCCTAATTGGATCCACTGCCACCTCAGGTTTAAGCTGGACCCTCCAAGCCGACATAGAAGAGTGTCCAACCGTACCTCCACGAGGATGCCAGTGGATCCATAGGGGCATGACATAGTCGATCCATAGTCCCATGGCAGTCCCATGGAGTCGCATGGAGTCCCTGAAGTGCCTGGGACTGGTGTGATGAAATGATCGATGTTCCTTGCCAGATACAGTTGGCGACAGGTTGACACGTTCGACGCTGCGACTGGATGTGAGGAACCCATCCCAGTTCGGCCAGCATTTTCACCGCCAGTGCCATGGAGAGCTTATCTCATGTGAGAAAGACCGAATGCTTCTTCTCAGATAGCAAATTGTATGGTGCCATCCAGCGTGAATACACGGCAACTGTTTCTTTTTTGGTGAAGAGAATCCCAGCCATGCTAAACACAATCAAATCAAAAACGGCGCTCCGTCACATTCTGGACCAATTACCTCAATCTCAACATGCCTCGACGAATATCCTTTTTGTCACAGCAACATGGCAACTGAAGCAAAGACAAGACCAACAAAAAACAAGCCACTCCCACTCACCATAGCTGCCATAGCCACTCCCACTCACTACGAAAGAACATCAACATCGGCGCCATGGATCCCTTCATGATCCCCACAGAGGCGGTGCCCATCGATGAGGTGCCGTTCTTCTGCCCCGCTGGGTGGGGACGGGGTGCGTATTGGTCGGATTGGTCGGATCAGTCACTGGGTTCTGGCGGTGTTTTGGGTGAGTTTGATCCTGGGGGAGTTGGTTTAAATGATGGATTTCGACTTCCTGAACGGCAAATCGGTCAACTTCACGGACTAGCATTTCCAGTTCGTTCTGGCATATGGATTTCAAGTCGTTGGGGGGGAGATGTTGGGTTCGATGTGCTTAGCTTGGAAGGATCTCCAAAGTGGGATAAAGGCTTTGCTCGGCACTTTTTGATGACAAAACCCTCTGGAGGGGCGTATCAAGCTAAATTCTTCAGCGATGCACAACGGGCGACACCCCCCCTGGAGGGGTCTCGCGCAGGCACACCCCTTGTTTGAGGGCGACTGTGATCTCTCAGCTCCAGGTGCGGCAATTTGGCGACACAAAAAGTGGAAGAACGACATTATTAAGATCATGATTGTAGTTCCTTAAAGTACTCATCTTTGACATTTCCGCTGTCCAGCTGCTAGGGCTCCAAGTAACCCTCAGAAATGTTTGACTTTTAGACCCTCCAAACCTATCAAAAGCACCTTTTCAGGAGGTACTTGGAGCCCCAGGGATTGTATACTTTGCGATAGAGTTTCTTGAAGAAGGTTGGTGTAAACTTGATTGGAACTAGTATCCAAATGTTTCTTATCTACGGTAGACCTTTGCGGACCATTGGGTTTGGGGAATTGGTAATAGACAAATAGATACTTAAATATGTAAAACAAGGCCAAACAGGACCCGATTGTAGTTTGGTGTGTCTTGCGTTTTTTATTTTTCTGCACGTGGGGTATGTTCCGTTTTGATTGCTTTTCTTTATTTGGGGTGATCCCTATTCTTTGCTTCGGCCTTCATGCAATTCTACAATGGCCAAGACATGACAAGACATATCTCATGCTATCAACAACCTCATAGTTCAATACTTTCCAATGGAAGACTCACTGACTTGAGAAGTGCTGGACAATCAACTGTGAATTTCATACGGTTGCCGAATCCGGGCGCTCAAACCACGGGGTTTGGAGCTCCAGACCCGTGGAAGAGTGGCACGGTGTCGGGCCCATTCGGTTCGGTAAGGCTTTCTCCAAGTGGTTTTTGGTGTTGACCGCTTTCTCCAGCAGCGGGCCACTGGTCTTAGTACTGGTCTTAGTACTCTTTTACTCCCACCGGTCCGTGACCTCGGGACTAATTACCACCGGTCATGGTGATGGCCGCGCCGTCGGGCCGCGCCGAGATCCGGGTCAAACTGTGGTGGGTTTTCCGCTTGCGAAGCTCAGGTCCATTCCAGACCGCAAGCGGTCTATTTGTTCATTGATGTTGCGCATCACACGCTGCTGAATCCTGCTGTTGCGCATCGGATTGATGGATGATTGCGGATGTTCCCGAACTGGGTGCATCCCCCCCCCAAGCGGAAGAGGTGTTTTCCCGGTTTCGCGCGCCGCACATCCAAGTGAACATCCACGAAACGTTCAGAGGAACAGACTTGGATTGACCGGATTCGATCGGCCTTTGCGCCAGTGATCACCAGCCGGGCAGAGCAGCTGGTGCCTTGGCAGCAACGGCACAAGCCCTGGAGAGTGGACATTTGATTTGCCCATGTGTGGGCATAGGCTGCCCTCATACAGTAAAAGATAGGTGGTCAAGGTTGTTTGTGATTTATACCCAGGTTCTTAAAACCAGCATTTTTCAGTGTTACAGGTTAGGCAAAATTCAAGGGATTTACACATGATGTTAAGTGTGCAATTCACTGCCCTGGCCCTACTATAATTACATTGAAGACATTTGCTCCGACCTTGGCACTGTGGGGTGAGGATGTACCTCTTCTTTGTCGTGACCCAGGTACCTGTAGGTCCTGTTGCATCAGAATGTTCAACACTCAGACGAGTCGGTACCTGTGAACCGATCGTTGCACGGACCCTCATGCTGCTGAAGTTGAACAGGACCACGGCGGGTTTTTGAGGACCACGTTGGGACCGGACAGGGACCGGGAAGGTGTTCACAAGCATGTAAACCAGCCCGGTTTGATTGAAGGACCAGTTACATGTGTTCCAGCGAGGAGCAAGTCCATGGCAAAGATGAGCACCACGTGATTTGCTCAACCAACTTGAAAGAACTATACCCTAGGCTTCCAACAACCATTGTTATGATGGTCTTGACCGAACCACCATTGGTTTACTAAGGATTTTACACTACGCAACCAGGTCAACCTTTCTTTGAATGATATTGGAAGCCCAAGGTATAGTCACCACCAGACATTTCAAAATGGGTAGTGCAATTAACTAGCAGCAGTTCCATGTCGGGGTAACGAACGGAGTTGTCGGAGGAAGGAGTTGCCCTGTCGAATCCACTGGATGGATGGGAAGCAGACCATTCCGACATGGAAACTGATGGTACAGTAACCTCCCAAGGCTCAGAGTAGGGACCTGCTCGCGATCCGGGTAGCTAGACCCTCAGGTCTAGGGTCTTGGCACCTTCAGCAACATGGAGCAGTTGCTTCATGGTCACTCGGGTCACCTCCCTGTTTCGCATTGGGACACGATCCGGGTAGCTGGTGGATCCACAAGTGGCACGGCGTTGGTGAACGGGTCGCCGGGTAGGCGACCGCAGAACGCCTCACAGGTGTTGGCAGTGGCACTGACGATGCTCTTGGTGTCATGCACGAAACGGCGGTCGGAGAGAGAGGTGTGTTGGTGTCGTATTTTTCAGGTTAGGGGTCTGAAATGGGGCTCTTGATTTTTATGAACTCGACGTCAGAAATATCGAGTGATCACAAACATAGAAAAAACAAACTTGCATTGAGTTGTTGTACTGGACTGGACATAGGAACGGACAAGAACAGTCAGTCAGAGATGATTTGCAGCTCTTGGAAGATGATAGCCAGGTCGGGCCGTCATCCGGTCGGGTCTGTGTGAAGGGTGAATGAATGTTGATTGGTGTGTTGTGGCCTGTGAAACTAGGCAGGGGAAAACACTTACGTAGGCCCTGAGTGAATGAGATAGACGTGTTGTTGATGTGATTTGGCCTGCCCAAAGGGCAGGACATTGTGTGTGTTTGCAGGGTTTCACGAACTCAAGAATACAAGGTCCCCACTAAAGCAAGTGCTGTAGGCCCTGTAGGGGGACAAGTTCCAATCCTGTAGGATTTCTGCATCCATTTGTATCCATTTCATGGAACTGCCACGTCCTCTTCTGAGACTGCAGAAAAAAAAAAAACAATCCCCAAGGAATGATTGCAGGTCAAGCTGCTGTCAGTGGTGAAAGTTCGATTTCACTCCCCCGCAGGCAGGTGATCAGATGTTGCTACCCCAGTTCTGTAGAGAAAGCCATGTAGAAGCCTTCCAAAGTTTGTGAAGTAGTTTGTAGGGGCCAGAAGTGAAGCTGGAGGTGGAGGGATGGAGAGTATGGTTGAGGATGCTTGGAGCAAGAGGTCCTATGAAAGGTTCTGGGGCCCATCCACTCCCTGAGCAATGGAAGTTGATGGTGCTGGGGCCCATCTACTTCCGTGCTTGTTTCAGGATGTGTAGAATCTGAGCTGAGCTAGTATGCCAAGGTCGTGGTCTCTGGAAATCTCATCCACCGCAGCTTGTCTTGAAGCTAGGTCGTGGTCTGTGGACCGTTTGGAGGCTCATGGAAGGACTGCATTGGAGTTCGCCCCACATCACAAGGGAGTTGACGGGATTTGAGGTGTCCGTCACCAAAAAGCACTGCATGTTAACGGAAGAAACACGGAAACATGTTGTGCTGCCAATTCTTAAAGATACTTTTCTCCCTATAGCTAGGGTTCCAATATTGATCCCTCATCCCCTCTCAATGAGGTGCAAGATTGTACAAGATACTATTTGTGGGTCGGTGTTCATTTGTCCGCGAAGAGAATCTACTGTTAATACCGCCAGCAAGACCACACGCCACGAGCACTTTAAGTCATGAGTCATGAAGTATATGCATCCAAAATTGCTCCTTCATCTGGCAGTTGGAGAGGCGCCCGGCTGAACTTTTTGCCGGAGTCCTTGGTGTCGGTGTGCCTGGGTGCCATCTTGGGCTTTGCGCCTCGCCATTCAACATCGAGATCGATCGGACCATGGTTGTGACTTTCCATACCCAGTCACGATACATGGTACTGGAATCTGTGTGATGCCTTCGGACACTGAAACATCTTGAAACCATTCATAATTGTGGCAACTATTATGTCATACATGGAGTGTTTGGGATAATGTTCGGGATGATAAGCATGATGGCAACCATCACATCTGCCAGCTCAAGAACGTTTGCACTATTAAATACCTACGATCCCTATTGAAGTCGGGTTAGACTCTCCTGGATGCGCCCTTCTTCCCCTGCACTTCTGGAGCCGAGACGTGAATTGGCACGTTCAAAGAAGCGAGAAACCGGCCAATTAAGCCAATGAAGTCAGCCATACGTGCAAACACAACCTGCATACGTTGAATAAGGGATGGATAAACATGATAAAGCATGATAAGGAGAAGCATCCTCCCTCAGTGTTGTGTGTTGTGGGTCTCCACATTACTTGCCTGGAGTGAATTTCCGGTCCACTTGAGAAGGTCCAAACAAGTGGACTTTCACTGAGTGTTGGAGTGGGTTGGCGGTATGCGTGTGTGTGTGTGTATGCGCGCTTTTTTGTTTATGCATATGTATCTCTATTTGTGTGTAATATACTTTGCCTGTGTGATGTATGATGATGCAAGCTATGCTAGTACGTCTAGTTTGCATTAATTGAATTCCTTCCTTATTTGACCAATGCACAAAGAATCTACACAACTTTGATCAAACCTGATCCAGCTGGTACACCCGTGGCTGAGGCGCTCTATGCTTCCGATTGGGGTGGCGAACGTGATAACTTGGACCCAAAGGTTCAGTATGCCATCTTCAGCGCCCCAGCACCGAATTTGGGGTTCCATGCAGTCGGAGCATGGTTCCAGGCAGTCCACGAACAAAGATTGGCCTGGTTTTGCTGAAGGTCATGTGTTATTCCCTTCTGGTGAATAGGTTTTTTGGATTATTGTTTCCAAGTTCCTTAAGCAAATTAAACTGAGGAGGTGCTTGGGGGGGAATTTAGCAACAGCATGGCACAAAAGTCACGCCTGTCGTGTCTCATTGGTGACGCTTGGAGGCGAAGGTGAAAGGATGTGGAAGGTGGATGTTTCATTGGCAAGCGGGAGGACCATGTGCCTGGACGTAGAGTACGCTACTACAAGTAATTTGGGTTGTTTCCTGGTGACACATTCGGTACCAAAAGACCACCTGGAAGGTCCTGGGATACTTTACAACCACTCACAGGATAGAGAAGCAATCTACTCATGGGGGAGGCCTGGTGCATGGTGCGCCGTACAGAGGCTCTCGCCCTGTAGACTCTAGACATCCTATCAAACATCTCACCAGACTCTCTATCATCCGCTGAAATCCAGGGCGGAACCAATGTCCAACTAGATGGGACAGAAGGGCTTCGGAGCGTATACGGTATTAGAATGGGGGTTGCGCTAAAAAATGATTCCAGGGGGGTACGTCAATGGGCAGAATCATTTATGTAGAATCATTTCTCTGGAATCATTTTTTGACAGGGGGGGTTCATGGGGGGTGTCAACCCCCCCGAGAATAATTTTCAACTTGATGTGACTGATGTACCAGAATCATTTTCACATGTTGCAATGTCATAATTGCATTCGCTTTTCTTTTTTAGAGTTTGATATATTTTGATATCAGCTATATTTGTTTTATAGGGGGGGTACAGAGTTCAGACGTCAGGAAATATTTGCAGATTTCAGGAAATGATTCTGACCGTGGATGACTGTCAGAATCAATATCACCAACCCCCCTCACCCCTCCCCAGAATCATTTAAAATGATTCCTGGGGGTCTTGAGGTGGGCCCCCTTTAACGCAAGAGCCATATATTAGAGGGAGGCCGTCGGGAGCGAGCACCGGAGTGAGTCCTCTGCTTGGCTGGTTGATGAGCAACACCTCAAATCCACCCCTTTCAGGGTCTGAAGGATGTGATTCATCAAGAGCCAGGACCCTCAAAGTGACCTCTTTGGAGTCTCTAAGTGACCTTTAATACTGTAGGCCTAAGTGACCTCATCCTGGGATCTCAAAAGGTCACTTTGAAAGTCCTGGAGTCTGCATACCTCACAACATCTGACCAGACAACAGGCCACCATGACAACAGGCGTGTTTCCTGGCCGCCCAGGTCTATCCTTGAAGTTGTTCTGCTTGTGGCTGGGCTGACTTCTTGCTTGCGTGTTTGGCATGAAAAGGTGAAAGGTTCCCTGTGCATGTCTCGTTTGCAAATTGTGTACCCCAAAACTGCTGGTGGCTGGATCGCTTCTAGATAGAGGTTACGAAGCGTAGCGAGGGTGGACATTGAGTTGGCAAAGTATAGTAGCGATCAGTTAAAAAAAGTTTGTCGGGCCAGTCATAGAGTCATACCCCTACTGCACCCAAAAAAAATACCTGACTGCGTTGCTCTTGACCTTAACGTGTTTTTTATTTCATTTCTTGGTTGCACCCTTTATTTCTACTATTTCTACTGTTATCAGCTCCATTCATTGACCGATGTGTCAATTCTAGATGCCATGCAATAGATGCCGTGCCTGCATGCCTCCCTTTCTAGGCCTGGAATCCACCTCTCATGTTTCAACAGATTCATCAGCGTTTAAAAAGGAAAGGCAAAAGGGAGTCTTTCTAGACAGAAAGATGTTGTTCCTTGATCAGATATCTTCAATTATCTTCACTGACCTTGTTTTTTTTTCATACATCCAAGACCCAGTTCAACAGCTCCAGCTCCTTCTTGCTCCTTGTTCAACGGCCGGCCCACCATGACCATACCCTGAGGATCCACAGACTTTCAAATACCTTCTCAATGATGGGTGTCAGTGGATCCATTGACCAAAAACCGAGGCCCATGATCATTTTTGAATCTGGATGGTCTCTGCGGCAACGTGACTTCTTTTCCCAGAGCCTCGGCGAGCATGATCGGAAACGACGGCTGAACTTCAAGGGACTCCTTTTTTGTTGCCCACCTGTTTCAATATCACTAATGTAGACTCTTGATTAATAAGCCCGCCCGTTGCAATAAGTGAATGTGCTCTTTTAAGTGTGAATTCAAGAGTCTACCTTGGGCTGTACACTGTCTCATCCACTATGTAGCGGCCGCTGGAGCGGGCAACTGCCGCATGATCGATCAAGCATAGATCGCATGATCCCCGCCGGTGAACGTTGCAGGTCTCCAGGTCTCTCTTGACTTTTGATGCTGAAGATTCTAACAGATTCTAACATTTGACCACTCATGAATTGACTCAATTATACTCAATTAATTTTTCTTTGAAGGGAACACTGGTAGGAAACCCAGGTATTCACCACCAAAACATCCCAAAACGATGGCTTTCCTGTAGATGTTCCCTCAAATATCATTAAACCAATTCTGGGATTGACATGACCTGCAAGGTGCTGGAGGACATCCCACCACATGCCTTACGAAAGAACCTCCCTTACCCGCACGGCACCCGGCCTTGACTGACTTCCCATCCTCTGCCACTTGTTTCGGGTCAGTCGACCAGGTAGGCACAGGATATCCCTACAGGTTGGGTATGACCTCATTGAGACCTGGAGTTGGTAAATCGAAAAACACCATTGCAAGCCGACCTGGTTTGGACCTGGATCGGACGAAGCAAAGCTCATTTGATCGGAGTAGACCCAGCAGACGAACGCGATGAAGTCCAGTGAAGTCGTTCTGAGATTTGGCTACATCATGATCATCGCCATCCTCGGGACCAGCCACTGGGACTTCGAGTCGTTCTTTTCGCAGAGGAACCGCCGAATCGCAGCTTGCAAAGTCAGGATACAGAAGAGAGCATCAACAAAAAATCAGATTCGTCTGTCTTAGGCCCAAAGCTGGAAACTTTTGATCACCAAGATTGCATGTGATGTGCTGTTCTTGGGGCGCCTTCTTCACATCTTAGTCCCGGCTGCGTCGATTTGTGGGAGACAGCAAAACCAACATGTTTCCGGAATGATGTGTCTTGGCCCACGATGCACAACATACTCGTTACTCGAGATAGCTCGAGCTAGGAATGCATTGGTACACAGGGAGGGGCAGGCTCTCCCACATGGAAGTGGATGCCCCCCCCTTTCCCTGTGCTTGGGAAAGGAAGCCGTCGTCTTCCAAGGGGCCATGTCCGCCTCCATGTTGGCACTTTTTCAAGTGGTACCTCTTGGGACGACAAGTCTTGTGCAAAGCCATTCATTTCATGCTCCCGTAAGTCCCGTAATGCCCTTGTCCCGAGACCTTAGAGACCACGCACCGGAGGCTCAACGGTCTGCGGCGTCTCACCGGCGGTTCCCGGGTTCACACATGTGCATGTGTTCAGTACCCACTTTCAGGTTCACGGTCCGTTCCTGAGACAAGCAGCGTTGATCTCCAAAGAGGCGGTGAAACACCCTTTGCAGTCAACCATGAACTGTCACCCCGAAAAAACACTTGCTCATTGATCAATTCATTGCGGCAAATTGGGTGTAGTATGGTGTAGGTCACCATTCTCTTCCAACTTCTTCATCAATGGTCCATCCTGACGAACTCCTGTGTCCAGTCAAAACGAACACCAGCTCGCACATGCTCACACTCTCGCACATGCTCAGCTCGGCGGTGTGAACGTCGCAGCTCGGCGGTTCCAGGTATTTCAGTCCTGGTGGTTGGCCAGATCCTGATCTGGTCCAAGAGGTTCCACATCATTCAGGACCAGTGACTGGTCCGTCGATGGAATTGCCAAGTCGAGAGACCCCGTTTGTCTGATGTAGGAAGATACTTGGACCCTCCATGCCTGGCCTAGGCGTAGGGGTCTCCAAGAATGTGGATCCATAGAGTTTATCGATGATTCCTTATCCAGCCGATCACAGCTTCGCCTGCCAAAAAAAATATAGATGGACCACCCTGACCATCATTCATGCAAACAAAGACAAACACCAATTTGTTGGGCGCAAGATCTTAAGCGCACACTTCTTCCAAGTGTTCTCAGTTCCACACAAAATGTCACACGTTCCACCACTTGCTCTTCCTCCATCCAAGCATCCCAAGCCCGCCCAAAGAAAGGACAAACCATGACAAAACAACCCATAGAATCTCACCCATCCTCCAAAAATGCCAAACAAAAGTCTGACACGTCACCAAGTACCAACTGCGCCTACACACCAAACGGCCAACAACATAAAACCAACGCCCTTCCGCGCAGGACCCGCGCACGGCGTATGCCTACGCGGCGTTGATTAGCTCCACTGACCCGGTGGCCACCCTGGCCACCTTCGGCGTGGCTCGCGTGGAGAACGGGGAGTGGAAGGATGCTGATGGATGCTGTAAAAAGGTGTTGAACGGAAAAGAGATGAAATGCGTACTGAAGTTGAGTACCAGCACCCTCCAACAGGCTGTTTGGAGACCCTAACAGGTGGTTTCTGGGCACCTGTTGTCACCAGGAAGCACCTGTTGGAGGGTGCTGGTAGAATGATTTTAGATCAGATTTCTCGACTCACCAGAGCATGGCATGGGGTTCTAAGCAAGGTTTGGCTTTGGCTTTGTGATTCTTTCATGTTCTTTTGGTGAGTTTGTGAGATTGGGTTAAATGGGAATATTGGATATATCCCAGCCAAGCCATGGAAACACTCCGAGTCACTCACATGGAAGTGGATGACACCGCTTGTTCATAGAGGAATTCCTGGTCATCCAAGTCGTACTCGGGGCCATGCCATCCACGCAACCATGATGATTTCATAGTGTGGACCTTGAGGGATCCAGAGTCATTCATTATGTGTTTTCTATGGCGGATTCGTCATTGCGGAGATTTGAAGCCACAAGAGATCCAGATTCACTCAGACCCCATTGCGTCATGGTATAGGGTTTCACATGCGGCACTGGAGACACCTTGATAGGCAGTGGATCCTTAGTGGAACACCCTTTGGGTGTCTCTTATGGTCCCTTCCAAGGGGTTCCAAGGGGGGAGGAAGTCGGGGTGCCCCTGTCACATGCACTCACTGGGTGGGACTGAGGAACTTCTGCTTGAAGATGTATCGGGTTCCTAGGGCTCCATCCGCTCACTGGGGACTGAACACTTCCCCCCCTGACCCCTCCTGCTTCGTCCCCGTTCCCCTTCGTCATTCGGTTCGTTCCGGCGATGGGCCGAGCGTTCCCGCTGAGGCCATGAACGTGGACCCGTTGCTGTATATCCTGGTCACCTGGGAGCAATCAAAGCACGCGCGGTGTCTCACGGCGAGGGAGGACGTGAGGGAGGACGTCGTTTTTGGTTTGGGGGAGAGAAGAACACTCACTCTAGCTGAGCAAACATGCCACCGGAGTTTGATTCATTGGATTCTTCTTTTTTCAGGTGGGGAAACTAACAAAGATCTGGTTGCATACATGTATACATGTTTAAACATTCTAAACGCTCCATTCAAAACATGAAACACCATCAAAGCAACAATTTTGGACATGTTACACTCTCCAGTGCCCTCAATACAGGCCAGGCATCGATTGTAGTCTAGGTTGACCACTTGAGCCACCTTCACTTCAGGAAATGCTTTTCAGAAGAGGTGCTTACAAAGGTGGCCCACGAAAACCTCAACACCAGCACCTAGCAGCACGACCCAAAGAATGCTTGCTGAATGTGAAGCACATGGTCTTTGGGGGGGTTAGAACATCAACCATCTGAAAGTGGGTGGTGGCAGTGGCCTCCTTTTTCAAAGAGCATGTTTCAGTTTGACTGGGCCAGATATATAGGTTGGATCGCCTGAATCTCAGAACTGGCCTTGAGAATTGGAAGCGAAGGGGTCAGGAGGCATCGAAATCTTGGGATCTATGGCCCATACTTAGTGGCCCCGCTTCCACTTAGTGACCGAGTTCTTCAAGGCGACCCATACTGAGATGCCTGCCGGCGCCGGTGAATCAGTCTCACGGGTGAACTGGGACGCTCCGCTCACGAGCTGAAGAGCTGGCATTTGGTTTTCTCGACTCAGACTCAGTGGAGGTGAGCCTTCAAACCGGATGAAACACCAAGAGACCCCCGTTGAAAACGCGGCCTCCGAAGCCACGGACGCCAGGACAGTTCCCGGCATCGATTATTCCGAGAGACCCGAGAGACTCGAGAGGGGATTCGTGATGACCTTGATGGGCACCCTAAGGGGTTGTTAATGGCCCATAGGCCTCCCTTAAACCAGTAAAGTTGGGGGCTCTCATGAGACACCCTTGAAAACCGCGGGCCCTGGTATGGCTATTTTTACCTATACCATCCTATACGATCACGCGCACTCTCGAGTCCAGTGAGACGTGGACTGAGTGGATTACTCAACCACAGATCGAGCAATCTAAAGTGAACCCCAAAGAAACCATTATGTTTTCAGGGGTCTGGCTGTCTATGTTCCAGTTCCCAGACCGGCCACTGAGCACCAGACCGCGGTCTGGTCGAGCTTCCTTCCTTTCCACCCAACCGTCGCCGACCGATGCGCCGACTGATGCGACGAGGTCTTCGGTGAGTCGCAGATCAACGATGCCGTGGCCATCACCTTGTTCGAGAGCATCAACGACAATGCGCCCGCGACGAGAAATCGAAGCCGATCTCGGTGGGTTACTACGTTCCAGGTAGGACGGGTAGGTGTAGGATATTACCTTAGGGCTCCTGGCCCATCTCCTCAGGTTCGGTGGTTAGACCCCCCTGGCGCCCACCCCAACCATCTTCTCAGGAGGTCGTTGGAAACTTGGAGACCTAGGTTATATAGGCCAAGAGTCTTTTACGGGGGTGGGGGAGTGGTTGTTCTGGGGGGTACGTCCTGGAAGATGTTCTTCTTCCTGGTAGATTCGATGCTGGACTGGGCAGGTGTCTATGTGTCAGAGTGCCCATCAACTCACCTCTTGGACTATCGTATATGTAAGCATGGGAATTGCAAGCCTGTCCCAGAGACTTATGGGATCTACCCTGAGCACCTCCCATGCAGCCCGAGCTCTTCAGGATTGTTCACCCAAATCGGGTGGAAGCAGAATGACGCAGATAGGACTAGAAATAGAACGACGGGAAGTTCTCACTGCACCGAATGCGGTTTGGACGAAAGACAAAAACTCCTCATTCAACGGATTCGTTGAAGGGCACGTCTACAGGATTTTCTAACATGTTCACCCTCAAATCCACGGGTTTCCGGTTGAATTTCCCAGGCTAACCAATTCTGAGGCCTTTCCAACCCATTCCAGCGTCCAAAAGGTCCTTGTTGGGAGCACTCCCAGGATCGATGGGAGCAACACCCCAAAACCCTAGGGATCCAGTCGTAGCTTCTCAGGAGGTACGACTGGACCCTCGAAACCTACATAAGAGATCATAAGAGTGTCGAACACATCACCGTACCTGAGAAGGTACGACTGGATCCCTATAGGGAAATACAAAATGCAGTTACAAACCACCCACTGGGGCCAGTCTAAGACACAAGGACCACTGGGGGGGTTAGCCCCTAATTACGTTGGACCACCCCCTTTGATGTGTGCAATTCTTTTGTTTGTCGACCACACAAAGAGGATACCAGTAGCCGGAATAGAGGATACAGATGGATACAGTGTGTAAGTGAGTTTTCTTGTTTAAGATGCCATGCACATGCATTTAACATAGCCCATAATTACATCAAACACGGAAGTGAAATAGTGCTTTGTCTGGACCAAGTTCGGACCAAGGGAGGCTTCTCAGGTTTTCCCATGGAAGTGACCAGGCTCTTGCTGGCACGATTCTTTGGCCGCCCGGTGTCAACTCCCGACACTGAGGCCTCGGACGAGAACTTGACGCTGCTCGGCCTGACGGATCTGAACGAGGGCTCGAACTAGCTCCGTTTCGGTGAAGGTGGTTGGGGTGGGTGCCAAGGGGGGTCTAACATGGTCTAACTACTTGGAATTAATCTGGTTGAAGCACACCAGGATACCGATGGGTTGATCTACAGACAGGTCAGGTCAGTCGCTAGAGCGTTTGACAGTTGCACCGAACAGCCACTGATGATGTAGCTGTGTGACGACCTCTCGATCTTCGGTACGGCTATCAGAGAAGTGGAGAAGGATACTGTAAACAAAAGAACATCAAAACTGAAGAATTGAAAGCAGCAAGCAATGGTATTCTTACTACCAAGCGTTACTTCTACCACTCTTGGTTGCTGCGAAGCCTCTCTTGATTCACTGTGAGAGAAGCTCAACTTGATCAGGATGGGCAAGATCGTTGTGAAGGTGATTGTGCTGCTTGGATTCAACAAACATCGTTCTGAAGGTGTTGTGCTGATAACGTGCATATTAATAAAGCAGTACTCGTTAATAAATTGTATACATGATTATACTGTATATATATATATATATGTGCTTGTTTAATGTTTTTTGTTTCGCAATGGAGAGACTGAAGAACCTTTTGTGTTCAATTGTTTGACCACATTTTGCAAGGTTCATTCAAGTGAATGAGCCAACCTTGCATACCAAACAGCCACCGGGTGGACTGGAAACCCACCCCCCCAAACCTCCAACATGAAGCCCTGAGACACCAAACATGTGATTGTTTTGTTTCATTTGGTTGTTCATCTATTGTTCATGGTCCTGTGATTTTGTTTGATGTTTATAAAGCTGCTTTCAGTGGTATTTCTTCAGACCTTTTGTAAACACCCGTTTAAACCGTTTGTTTTTTACGTGTTTCACCGTTATTTTTTTTCTGTTGGCTTCTGGCAATTCCAAGAGCTGATGAAGTGCCAACAAAACACAGTTTTTGTTTTATCTGTTTAATCCGTCATCCTTCGTCCCGGAACCGAGCTCCGTTCACTGAGCTCGGACCGTCCCGGAGTCGCCGTCCCGGGACGCGCCCTCGCGGAGGCTCTTGTTTGGTTCCTTGGGCCTTGGAATTGGTATTGCTCTAGTGCCTTGGAGGAATCCACGTGGGTCCAGGAGGGTTGGAAGTCATCGGAATCATCTGGTTTTAGGTGCATCACCTGGTTTTCAGGTCATCCACGGCACGAACGTGCCTTGGACCTACTCAGGACACGTGGATGACCTGCACCTTTTGGGGGGACTAACCCTCACTAATTACGGAGTCGCACGTGGATCCCCCACAGGGAAATCGGGGCAAAATAGGGGGCAATCGGGGAGTTGCCCCAGTCGACCAGAACAGCTGGAAAATGATCCACTGAACTCACTCACTCTCCGTTCCTGGGGTAGGTAGTGATCATGCACCCTGCTGGAGGGCCATAGTTTTGGTTCACACCTTCTTTTCCAGGAATCTCCAGCTCGGTTTAGGATAGTATATGATCTGATCTACCCACCCTTGGGTGGGGATATATAGCTGTGTGTTCCCCATGTTAATGTTGCATGGCTGCGTACCAAACTGATATAAGTTTTTTTGAATGATGGACTTCAGAAATGCTGCCATTCAAGATCAGTCTTACCGGATATTCAGCACAGTGTGTTTCCTTCCAGTTATGATTTATCGCTGCACGGGGGGAGAGCCCCAGAAACTGCGACCAGCGGCCAGCGAGCGAATGCAACAAGCAACAAGCGGTGAACCGTCGCGAATGCAGCGAATCGGACATCCAGTGAATCGGACACCCTGCTTTCCCTACAGCTCCTGGCCCATCTCCTCAGGTTCGGTGGTTAGACCCTCCAATCCACCCACCCCTGGCCCATCTTCGAAACGGATGGTGGTTGGAACTAGGGTTTGAATATGCAGTCATCGGTTCGGGCCGGGTATGGCATATGTCTTTTTCTTTCAGTTCGGCCCAAAACGACCGAAGCTTTAGATCTTGACCCCAAGAGAGTTGATTGGTGTTTTTCTTTTCAGTGGTGAACAGTTCACATGTGTGGACAGCACGTTGGGTGGCCAAACTCTCACCATTTGAGGCCAAACTGAGTAACCTTTGCCTTTAGGGCCTGGTCAGGTCAGGTCCTTTGACTGCCCCTTTCACGACAGGTCCAGCAGTGCGGTCAAACCCAGGTGGAGACATCCGTCGGGTCCATCTCTGTGGGCACAGACGTTGCCAGACCACACCCACCCGGCAACAGCACAGAGGGCAGGCCAGGAGCCCATCGTGTTCCTGATTTCCTTCCTCTTTTGGGGTCGAACTGGGAGGTCTCCCTATTTTCCCTAGGGATCCAGTCGTACCTTCTCCTGGCACCTACATGACAGTGTCGAACACATCACCGTACCTGAGGTTCGGTACGACTGGATCCTAGGGTTTTAATACATACTCAGCTGGAAGATCTTGGCTATATTCACATCTTCGCTGATCCCACACGCACGCACATCTGCTGCTTCACGCGGCCCCAGACTCTGAAAGGTGCTTATCCTGGTCATGCGGTTCACACGCCTGGGGCGTTCGGCGCACAATGCGATCCTCTTCCTGACGCTCGGCCTCCACGTCATCCACATCACGGTCCGTCATGAAAGGCAGCCTCGGTTCTATGTCTTCATCTTCCCAGACATTTCATGGGACTGATGTTTTTTTTCATCGTCATTGTTATCATGAAAAGAACATACTCTATATACCCTAGGGATCCAGTCGTACTGAACCTCACGGGTCAATGTAGGCTAATATTGGTATTCCATACATGGAGTGCCAATGTACCACCCTATTGACCTCTCACCACCCCAACTGGTCGCCAGTTGTATGGAGAGGGGTAGACCGCTCTCCTTGCCGCACATGGAGAGGGGTCTTGCTTCTAATCATGTTGAACGGTAAACCCAATCAATACTTGATCCGCATGTTTGAAAAACCTTGAACTCTGCTGTGTCTCTGGAGGATTGGACTATTAGTGAGTGCCTGCTATACGAGGAAACTGGGGGTTCAGATAGCCACAAATTGCAGGTCTTCGAGTCTTCAGTTTTGCTGTGGCCTGTATAGAAACGATTTGTTCAGGTCCATCTCAAGCCTGGGACCAGGAGATGTTGTAAGTTGTACATTGGTTTTATATGAGGTTTTATGATGGTTTTGGTGACACTAGTTTCTGCAGGTGGGAAGATTGACTTTGGGGCTTTATACTCCGGGTTTTGCTTGGCTTCATGCCTTTTTGTTGGTACAAAGAAGTGGAACTGGTTTCTCAACAACACAAACTCGGCCTCCCTCAGGGCTGGATCCCCCTTCATTTGCTATACTCTGGCTGAGCAAGTGGGCATGTCAGGCGCTTTTTTTTAAATGCCGGCGGAGAGTTTCGAAGGGGAACGCACGAAGCGCGGGGAATGTACCTGGAGTCGACCCGTTCGTACTTCGGAAAAATGGGTACGGTCGTACCTGTTTTTTCTTTTTAATGGGGTCATGTCCCATGAGCTAAGGTACTTTGGAGGGTCTAGGTAGGGAGAGAAGGCGTTTGTTGGCACCCCGAGCGGGGGCTTCGTACCGGACCGAAGCCCCTTCGGGACGACCGGACAGGGACTCGTTGCTGGGCTGGGCTCGCAGAGGGGGGTGGTTTGGGTGGGGAGACCATGTTCCTAATCGCTCTCCCCGGTGGAACAGCAGGGTGAGAGCGCAGACCTTCCAAGTCCATATGATGTTTGAAGACCTCATTTTGGTAAAATCTACTTCAGTGCTGGGAGCGCTAACCCAGCAAATCACACCCAGACTCCTACAACGAAGGCCCCATCCTTTGTAAGCAAGTCTTCTGTCCGAGAACTAAGTGTTTGTGGTGGGTCCCCAGATTTGCAACAGACTTGGTGGAGCCAGATCGCTGGATCCCTCCAGACTTGGTGGAGCCAGGTTGACGGATTTAGGGCCATGGAGCAACCAGCCCCTGACTGGAGTGTGTGGAGCAAGCAGTGGAGTGTCTTACTAGTATTCCAACATACACATAATTTGCCATCATGTCACATATCCATATTCCTATATATTGGGATGCACACATAATATGTAAGTATAAATTTAAACATACAATATAGCTATATATACTATATTAGTGTCATTTTTGTTATATATATATATATCATTACATATCTCACTCCAACAGCTTCCCTCTCCAGGCATCATCACCGTCCTTTTTGCCTCGATCATGATCGGCGGCTATGCTCCCACGCATCTCACTGCCGAGGTTCGGTCTGAGACGAGACGAGCTCGTCGGTGACGCGACGACTGCCGGTCTGGTTAGGGAGGTTGTGTGTGTGTCACGCATCGGCCGTTCCGAAGCAGCAAGAGTTTGACATGAAAAAGGATTCACCTGAGCTACCTATGGTGTAGTCGATAGGGTCCTTCAACCTTTGTTGGAAGGCCCAAGAAGACTCCTTTGGGGTCCTTTGGGGTTTCCGGTTTGGACTTTCCAGAATTGCTGTGCTTCTACCAGACCCCTAATTAGTCAGGTCCACAAGCTGAACCTGATGTGTTTTCGGAGGTGTTCTGCACCAGGACTTGGTGCTTAAAATTCCGCCAAGGTACTTGGTGTGTGTTTATGGGTGAATCCCCTTCACATGTCGTGTGATGTTTGGTCGCATTCCTGGATAGTCAATCCAAGAGGGATGAGCAGATTCCTGGTGAACCGTCGGTTCTGCTAACTTCTTCCATCCTTTGCTCCACCGCCTCGAAACCTCCCTCCAACACCTCCACCCAAGTTTGCTTAAGCAGTCCTTCGCACCGCATGATGGTGTCGTGAAGGCTGGTAGATGCTACCTGCCCTCGACCTTTTGTTCCTTATTGTTCCCGTTCGGGGCTTCTCGTCACGAGCGTCGAGCTGAACGAGGCAACGACCTTGACCTCCTTCTTCCTGAAACAATTGGCCTCCGTCGGTGCGACTCGGCATCTCCGTGCGCAAGAAATCCAAACCTTACAATCAAGCGGCCCCCGAGAAAAAACACGAAAAATGGTGAAGACAGGGCAGCTTGAAACAAAGCCGATGGAACTGAGCAGCAAAATGTAAAAAACTATTTCGGGTTCATCAGTTCATCAACGTTCATTAGTTTGGTTGTTTGGGTGGAAGCATAATGTAACTGCCACAAAGCACACTCAGTATGCAAGAGGACACTGTAGGCAGCCAGATGATGGATTTGCCAGTAAAGAGTTGGAAGATCTTTGGTTGGAACCAACATAAGCACCCAGTAAACAGTTGAATAATGTTGAAAGATCGTTTTGTTGACCAAACTGTATTCTTCCCAGTCAATTGGAAGATCTCTTTTTGTTAACCCCACTCACACCAACTCACACCCAACTCACACCAAATGATCCAATGGTGACCCCAATGGTGGCCCCAAACGGTGACCCCAAACGGTGTGAGTGTAACACCCAGGAAGATGCAACGAAAACACCGGCCGCAAAGGGTCTCTTCTGTGTCTGTCGTTTCGCTTGCACGAGGACTGCTCTAGAGGGTCGTGTGATGGGAGCTTTTTCTTTTAGGCTTATGGTAGGCTACAAACCCGTTTGGCCGACCCAGTCGTACCGTATCGTGAAACGGTTCGGTGGGACTGGGGTCGGTGCCAGGGTCGGGTCCAGTCATACCGAAGCTGAGGTTCGGTACGACTGGAGGTGTAGGGGAAAGGCTACAGGTATTCAAACATGACGGCAACTCAACGGACCAGAAGAAACGACCTATCTATTTGCAGTCCCTGGAGCTCCGGACGCCCCATCTCCTCAGGTTTGGTGGGCACAGACCCCCCTAGACCACCCACCCTAACCACCCAACATCAGGAGGCGAGTCCTAGGGAGTGTACCGTGTTAAAAGATCACAGACCCGGATTCATATCCAGGAGTGTTTTTTTTGGAACCTGATCATCCAGTGAGTTGATGTTCTGAGCACCCCCTAACCTCGCTCCCTGCTTTTCTACTTGTCATGATTTTTCTTTGCCCAGGACACCGTGGTCTTTGTGTGCTGCGGTGTGCAGGCGGTGCAGTACCATAAGGACCGCTGTGCAGATGTAACTTGTGCTCCTTTCAGGTATCCCTGAGACGAGGGACCTGAATATAACCCCGCTACCCATATCCCGGTGACATGACCCACAGCCCTGGATGGGTTTGGCAGCCGGCATCGATGAGGTCACCCGAATCGAAGGAAAACAGGAGATCAGACTCATTCCGAGGCCTGGCAGGCCAGGCCATCCTGGCAGGCCTATCAAAAAGAACAGAATCCCGAAGCCTGAGTACCTTCTGAGAAGGTGCTTGGGCTGGGTTTGGAGGGTCCAAATGCCTTTTGAGGAGGTACTTGGAGCCCTAGGGTTCTGATCTCTACACTCTTGGGTATGAGTGAACTGATGTCCGAAAGCCTTGAGTTTTCACCTTTCAAAGCCCCATGTTGGACGCCTTTGTGAACAGAAACCTTTGGGTCGTATGATTGGTGACCGGTCGCCACCGAGCCAGGATGGCTTCATGATGTCGCTTTGGGCCGCGTGGCAGCGCAAAGGGTCCATGTTGACGGCAAATCATAGGATTGATCGGTGGTGGGAGAGCGATTACTGACTAAAAAAGGAGGAACACACATTCTGATTCTGCTACTGCAGACCTTCATGTCCTACCCCAAATAGTTCTAGATAGTTCTAGATTGTATATGATTCTATAGAATATCAATGAATATCATACCTTGCAGAAATCAGCCAGGAATGCCCAGGAACAAGTGGTGCTGCTATGTGTCCTCCAAAAGTACTTTTGACGACAAATTCACCATCACTTGCAGATGGTGGATGGGCCTCTGAATGAAGCACTTCAAAATTCTTTGGTTGCACCAAGTGAACACTTGTCAAATCAAAGGGAAATAGGGAAAGACCGTCTGAAACACGTCGAATGAGAAGTCTTGGGATTTTGAGGCTACTGGTGGTTTCATTTTGGATGATAGACGGTACTGGGTACCGACTCTATGGGCTAGCCGACCGACCGCACTTCCGAAGGTCAGTGTTTCCCATGTGAATTTCCTGAAATCGTACTGATGGCTGGGGCAGTCAGGTCAAATCTGACACACACATCAACTGCAACACTTTCTGTTGGATCGACTGAGATAATATCAGAACATAGTAACATAGTAGACTTATATATGTATATAATAGATGCATATCATATGAGTTACTTCAGCCAGGGCCGTAGTGAATGCCAATATGCTGATATCCAATTCAAGCACGCTTTTGCAATGCCAATGTTGGAAAGGGGACTATCACAAGAATGGATGCATACAGGGATGTTCACTTCAGTGCGGGCTATGCTATGGGTTCATGGACAGAGCATGCAGCACAAGTTGAGACATTGTTGATGGAAGATCTTCACCCTTTTGATAGGATAAAAGACATGACATGAAGGTTAGGGCTTAGGGTAATGAGATGATGGAGTGCTCAATGGAGACTTGTTTTGGGCCACTGATGGCCATCGTAAACCAGCGGAAAGGCGACCGTAAACAACGGTCCTTTGGTGCAATCCTTTGACACGGCAGAATGGTTTAAACATGTTTCAACTCAGACCTTTGCACTCCCTCTTCGCAGATCATGCTTGCTTGCCTTTGCGGCCGGGCTGCTGCTGTTTTCCCCATGAGCGGCCTGTGCAACCTCATCAAGTCACTGGGCTGCTCGTCGCTCGCTGGTGCTCTTCCGATCGTGTTTGTGCCAAGTAGCTTTGAGCCCTCCTGACTTCCAACCCACCTGAGACAGATCAGTACTGCAGACTGAAAAACCAAAACTGAGCTTGAAAGATATCTCTTCTCCACTCGGAACACATGCGAGCGGCGGTCGACTAGGCTGGAGTAACTCTTTCAGGGAGTGTACCTTGATCGCCCAGGGGGGCTGGTATGCCCGAGTCATGGCCGGTATGCATGCTCGAGTCGGAGGCCACGTCACATGAGGTGTTGAGAATCAAAAACGGAGACCCCAGCCAGCGGTCCTGGGAAGAGGACACATTGAGCCCATAGTCGGGGGGGATATGTACTTCCACGCGACCCGTTCTGGAGCACCCACCACCCCAAATATGGCCAGGAGGTCCTATGAAAGCAGGGGCAGGGGTCATGTTTGGGTTCATAGCGATGTAACGGTGTATAAATGAATATAAAGATATAAAACACATGCTCATGTGTTTTTTAAATATGAGCAACCGCCAAAACGTGCAATTAGTAAAGCGCAGTCGTGAATCTCAGGAATTGAGCTAAAACCAGCAAAAAGTGATAGGCACCCTCAAAAGCAATGTATAATCATATTTCCGCGGTTGTTCAATATGTTCAGCTATTTTGACATTGTGGCTAAAACCTGCAACAGCACTAGACCCCCCCTCAAGAGCGGTAACCTTGCTGAATCATGTCCCTTGCTTGACAGTACGTTTTGGCAGACGCTGATACCGAAATGAAACATAACACAAATCAATCAAGATGCTGGTGTTCTACTGTGGGTCCATTCTCCTTCCTGAGGTGGGGTGTGAGTCAGAAGGTGCCCAATGAGAAGAATCACTACATCAGCTGGCGCCACCAGGCCAGCCAAAACGACTGCAGACCTCGAGGGACGGAAGGAGGGTACAAGGTATGGGGGTTTTGAGGTGAATGTCCGGAAGGGGAGATTTGGAGGTGAGGAAGTGGTTGTTTGCATGTGCTTAAAAAAAGCAAACAAACACTTGAGAAAACACAACTTAGTTGATTCGCTAGGATATCTAGCTGTGTGAAATTGTTTGAACATGTGACCATGAGATGTCCTTTTGGTTGGTCCAGCGACTGGGATGTTGCAACTATCTCATTTGAGTAGTATACTGACGTCGACTGGCTGGCTGGCTAGCTGACTTACTGCCTGACTGACTGACTGCCTGACTGAGACAATATTATCATCAAAGTTCATCTGAAACCGGACTCCTTGGTCCTGCGGTTGGTCTTTGCCTCTCTTCAAAGCCAGGCAATTCGATACTGTGGAGGAATGATATGGTTTCTAAATGGCTTTCCTGCTTTCACCCGGGAGGATTCCAATCCTGTCCTGTCCCATTCAATTGGTTCTGGGAAGGTTGAGTACAGTCCCTTTTGGTGGATTCCTTGTTTTAAGCACGGAATCACGTGCAACTGAGCAATCTTGTTATTCTAGCTGAGAAGTGAGACGCGCCACTTGGGTGTGAGACGGATGCTCGCCACGTTGCCATGTCTGGATAGGTGATGCTCTTCCATTCAGGGCTCCGTGGTGGGATCGGGCTTCTTGGCAAGCCGCGGGGAGAGCCTGGGTGTGGAAGAGTTGGGATGGGGAGATGAATACTCCATGTGAACATGTTGATTAACCCACCCCATAGAATATGGACCTGGAGTCTCTCTCTTCATACGGAACAATGGTACAGTCGTACCATGTCGTACCTTCTTTTGAAAAGGGCCGGGCCATGTCATATGTCCCATTTGCTAGGGTACTTTGAAGGGCCAGGGAGATGATAAACATGGAAAACGCCGGGCTGGGAAGTCCTGAAATCCATCTTCTCCAGGGCTCCCCCAGATCGGAGGTGCGTCCTGCCCGTGGCTTCGTACCTGGAGCTGTGTATAGTCCCAGAAACAGTTGTGGATGGAATGGACACCCAGTCCTTGCCACTCTGCGATGTAAAGGATGTGAAAGGATCTCACACAAGCCATACTGTATATTGGAATAACGTTGCTGGTCGGGACTGGGGGTGAGGTACACCCCCCCAGGCAGTCACTGCTTTTTTCGAGGTTAGTGCTCTCTTTGGAGCTCGGAACGCCGCTGGGATGGAAGTAAGAGCTTGCTGAAGATCAAGTGCTGCCAGTCCGTGAGCAGGACAGAGAACAGAGAACCAAGGGAATAAGATTGTCTTAGTCTTGGGCTGCTGAGATCCTTCTGGAATGTGTTGTTAAGTGTTCCAGATGTTTGCAATTTGGGGTGTTCCAGATTGAGCTGGATCCCCCCCCATTCCCCCACCCACAAAGTCCATTTGTGCACGTTCCAGCGAAATAGCAAGCACTTTGTGGTATGCTTTGAAGCCTCAGTTTGTTCAGAGGATTTCATCGTTTGGCAAAAGGTCTTCGTCTATCAAAGCACACCCATAGGCCCATAGGTGTGGAACCATGTGGAACATGTTGTTTCTTGTTCAGTTGCCGATGATTTGAAGAACCATGGCATTCTTGTGTCAGCTTCCATTGGCATCACACCCACACACTCCATGGGACATCATAACAAGAGTCTATAGAAAGCACATTGATCCTTGGTTCAACCACCCTAACCGGTGGGCCATTCTTCAAGTCCAAAAAAAAGACCTGGTCTTCGGATTAGCAGGTGTTTTTCCCCACCTGTCAGCTGTGGGTTGGTAGATTTTAGAGGATGCCGCCTTTGTCTCCTCATCCTCCTCATTTTTTTCTTGACAAACCTGGATCCAACATGGCTCTTCAACTTCTCCAGGGCAGTGACAGCAAAAAAGTGTGCAAGTACTTGCCTCCCGTAAATCTTCACGAGACATATGAGCATTATGCGGCCACCCTCCAACTTGCAGGGCACAAGCTGGTTTCTTTCTCAACGTTCTGCAGAGTTTTTTTGTGCCCGCTGGGCTGATGTGCTGAAGTATCGTGACAGATCAATATTTGCACGCTGCGAAGTTTGCTTCCAGCTCACCCAACAGATCAACGACAGGAACGTGTCCCTTGAGGGCAAGCTTGGCACCACAAAGGACTACTGCTCTCATCTCCACGCTCAATACGTGGACAGGAGTGTGGCATGGAGTTTACAAGAACTTTCAAAGGACCATCATTCCGACACTCTTTGCCTGATGAGATGGATCAAGCAAAGTTTCAGCCCAGCACTGCGGGTAGCAAAACATATCCACCCGACTTTGAAGATTCACGGTTGCTGGTGCTTTGGCTGGACTCTTGACCTTCATGTCATGGACGAGGTGAGAAGGCACGATTCATCGTGCATCATTGAGATCGTGGCACGCTGCTTGGAGAGGATCTCGCAAAAAGCACGGACGGAATGAACACATTCCGATGCCCAAGTCCTTGATGCTGTTCGCCGACCACACAGTTCGCCGAAGCAAGAACCCATTTGTTCTTAGCTACCTTGCCAACTTAGCCTCCAAGTTCAATCTTCGCTTGACATCATTCATGTGCCTGCAGAAATCACAAATCCTCGCCCGTTGCATTGCTTCGTGTTACAAGCTCTTCACTCTCCGTGGTGCAGGCCGAGTTGGAGAAACCAGGGCTGCGAGCTTGGGCACTACCGGACCTCAACAGCAAGCACCAGATCGCAGTGGGCACTACCAGACCTCCACAGCAAGCGCCAGATCGCAGTGGGCACTACCGGACCTCAACAGCAAGCGCTAGATCGCAGTGGGCACTACCGGACCTCAACCACAAACTCACCATCGCAATGGACACTCCCAGGCCCATCTGCTGAAGAAGCGCAGCCAGACTACCATAAGGCTTCTAGATGCTGCCATAGCGTTCATGTCAACTCTAAGCAATCCCGCAAGAGAACCCTGTGCTTTTCCGATGCCGGGCCTCAGAACGCAATAGTTTACTTCCAACTCTCTCTGCACCCTTGAGGTACGTAGATCGAGTGAATGGGCCAGGCTGAAGGGTCCGAGTGGAGGGCGGATTTGCCAGTGAAGGTGCTTGCAGTCGACATGCACAGGGTCAGGCAACTACATCAAGCACAAAGACGAAATTCGTAGTTGGAGTCCAAGGTGTGTATATATATATAATATATATATATATATATACACAAAAATATGTGTTTATCTCCATGAAACTCCAACACACCGACATTTACACTACCCTGGGCACTAATCAAGCACTAATAGGATCCCTAACCAGGGCTGTCTCATGATTGGTGATTGGTGCATCTCACTATTTACCCTGTATGGATCTATATACCTTCTTAAGGTGGCTGGGCACACATGTATAACATGCATGAGGGGTCCAATCATACCAATGTGTGAGACTCCATCTGGGTCAACCAGTGGGGGTGGTTGAAAACGATCTATGTCAAATATATATATATATATATATATACGTAAATATCAAAGCTCTATTATGGTGTTTGGAAAGGGACATGATTTGCCTGTGTTGGCCAAGTGGGTGCCATTTTTCTGTAAGTCCCATATTTTTCTGCAGGAGACATTGTTCAGGCACTTGTTTCAACATTGTCATGTTTCCTGGGTTTTGACCAAAGGATCATGGGGCCTGTGAGAGGATCATGGGGCCTGTGCCGCCTTCGCGAGGCACCAAAGATTCCTTGGTCTATGCCACTTTTGTGATGATTTGTGCCTTGGCCGCACAAAAGGGAGAGTGAACCTGTCAGTTGAACAACATTGAAAAACAATCTTACTTGATCTTACTGGAATTCCATTTGCGGATGTTGTTGTTTGATACCCATGTGGAATCCGCAGACCTTGCTTTCGAAGGTATGCAGTGTAGTTGCTTTGGATCCACTGGTCCAACGATGCGGTTGGATCCATCGTGCCATCGCGATATGTTTCCTTATGTCCAAAACAACCCTTGCAACATGGACACTCTCTTGCAGGGGGTCCATACTTCTATGTCTAGTCTGCAACCAATTTTCCCGAGACCGTCCACAGTACGTAGACTCGAGGCGGTCGTTTCTTTTGTTTCGTGTGTCGTGGAGCCCTGCCTTTTTGGGGGTCACGGAGGGTTCAAGGATTGGATATGGGGGGCCGTACTGGATGGATAAAATTGATGGTGTCCAAAACTTTATCTGGGCGCCAGCCTCCATCCTCAATACAGCGAGGTTTTCTTAGGGCAGGATCTGGATTTTCATGGATTTCCCGATTTTGTGGTTCCACACTTTCCTCCTCAGAGGCTGTCGAAGATGTTTCAAGGTGATGAAGGTGAGGAAGGTTGCTTTAGAGTTTTACCTTTCTGGGAATGTAGATTTTTGACTTGACACAATCCTGAAGACCAACATGGACCCTGAATCCTGAACACCATTGGCTTGTAGAGGAAAGCAACCATTTGGCGAATTGGGTGATGTTGATGTTCCCGGATATGATTGGTTGAATCCGCTGGCAAAATGAAGATTCTAAGATTGGTATTAACATGGTGTTACTGTTTATACCAGGACCCACTGTCGGCGTGGTGAATGGACACCCCAAATCACCTCTTTTCGGAGCATCTAGAAACCCCTGGTCCGGGGCTCCTGGTCGCAATTCTCGGCTCGCACTGCGGTGCTCGATCCAGGTCCTCCGCTCCTCCGCTCGACGGTCAGACGGAATCGATCGAACGGGAGCTCCGGAGCCGAGGCGTTTACCTGTTGGCGGCTTGGTCTGAGAGTTGGGGGAGTTATAAAAGCGATTGGATCCAGCTGAGCGGAAAACATGGGAGATCACTAAGTATTAGAACCCTATAGGGATCCGTTTTCGTAGCGAACCTCAGGTTCGGTACGACTGGACCCGACAATGGCACCTACATAGCGGTGTGTCCAATCACCTGCTGAGAAGGTACGACTGCCTAGGGGAAATGGTTCCACAGTAGCGAGTTTTGTAACGAGAAAAGAGACATGTTCTTCTCCAGCGGGAAAGCAGTGAAAGAAACACCATGCGTGAAAAGAAGAAACATCAAGAGAATCCTAGAAACAAAACATAGAATTTTGAGATTTGGAGTCAACGGATCAGAGTGTGCACCTTGTCAACCTTGCGACGGAGCGACGCCTGTTTTAAGTGTAAACTCCCTGGAATGATCATGGGAAGTGGGTCCAACCACCACTCAAAGTGGAGGAACAACATCTTATCCTTTCAGCGGTCAGCCACCATAGTTCCAGGGAGTGTAAAGAAACAAGAAACCTAGATGATGGACCCTTTGACTCATATTTTTCAAGTGGGTTGAACACACCAACCAGAAACTCTTTGGGCAAGAAGCTTGGGGCCTTGGAGCCTTGGGGACTCCAGGGGTCTTGGGACAAATCAACCGGACACCTGGACGCTTCGTGACATGTTTTTGAGCTGCGACCTCCAGCGAATTCTTCCGTCCTTATGATGTGGGCCATGCGGCCCCTACAGTATAGGGTGTACCAGGGCCCAAACCCTTTGGGGTGGTTCATGGACACTCCGAGTCACCTCTTTTCGGAGCTATTGTTGGACACCCCGTGGTTTAGGGGGGCCCTGGATTGGAGTGTTTCCCTAGGACACCACACCAAAATTGGTTCGCCAAAGCGCATGTGGACGCCAAAAACCCGGTGCCCCTAAGAATCCCAGTTGGTGTTTGGGCTTGTCATGTGTGTAGTTCAGACTGGAACTTTTTGAGATGTTCAGTACTTGAAGATACTTGAAGTTTGCAGCTTGTGACCTGACAAACAAACTCTTCTTTCTCTCAAGTCCTTCGTGAAGAGACAATCAATGTCTACATCGCACGGCTCGGCTCCGTTCAACTTCAACTCCGACCCGACGCCCAGACCCGACCCGAACGACCCCGTTCTCCAACTGCTATAGGTTTACGTACGTAAGGCTCCAGGTGAGCCCTCATTTCTGTGAGGCTCCGCCTTTTGCGGATCATTTCGTATAGGAAAAACCTGGAACAAAAACCGTATACATCCGGGCCTACGACCTCTACGACCTTCAGAGACTACCGCCTCTCTCCCAGGGTCCCCGCAGGCGCTGAGGACCACAGAACCGTCCGAGGTCTTCGGCGGCTCCACCGCCGTGACGCTGCGGGCGCTGCGCATCCCCTATGGCGCCTGGATGTGCAGGGTGGAAGGGGCGTTGGAGGGTGGAGCGGAGTGGAGTGGTGGAGTGTAGGTGTTGATGGTCTGAGTGGTTGAAGATACAGAAATGACTGGGAGTTGTGTGGTTCTGTTGAAGAACAAGCCATTTCTTTTGGGGAGTGCCATAACTTGGTCGGGTTCTGCAAGAGTTGTTTGACTTGGAACCACCTGCAACCCGAAACGACCACGTCTTTTGGTCGTTTTGAAAACAACCAATTTTTGTTGGTCGTTTCAAAACAATACGGTCGTTTTATCTTGCAGTGATTTATTTTATACATGAAAAATTGGTCGTAGTCGTTTCAACAAAATACGGTTGTGGTTCGAAAAATATACGGTCGTTTCCAGAAATATACGGTCGTGTACGATCGTATACGCTTTCACAAATCAACTGCTTGATATGCATTGTGCATGATGTAATATTTGAACATCATCATAATTGACAAAAATACGGTCGTTTGAGAAAACACCATGTTTTATGGTCGTTTTAACAATATACGGTCGTTTGAAGAAACAACAAAAAACAATGGTCGTTTCAGGTTGCAGGCAGGTGTGAACAAGGGAACTTGTCCCTGCTTTGCGAGTGCCGTGTGACCCAGGTAACGATGTGGCCATGGACGCATGTGCCTGGGCTCGAAGGAGAGGAATGAGTTGATGTTCATCCAAGGTGGGAGTAGTGGCTCTCTCAATTCTCAATATGATCAGAATCTGTTTACCATCAGACCTGCCACGCAGTATATACTTAAGAGATCTTAAGAGATCTTAAGTCAATTAAGATTTTGATGTCAGAGTATCACACTAGGGATAAGAGTTCTGAAGCCTGCAGGTGAAGAGAATTCCTCAAGAATTTTCAATGTGCTTGTTTTTTTCAATCCGTTGGGTATGAGTTGGTTTTAAAGTATCTTTTATGTGTGCTTTTGAAGCCGCAAATTGATTTGCGGCATTCTTCACAAGGCGGGGGATAGGGGTTAGGACCTAGGACAGCTGAATGCAGGGCTGTTGAAATCACGGTTCTATAGGTTTTATTGGGATCTATATGCATCCGGTTTCAGGATCTATTTTGCCTGGTTGGGGGCTTATAGTACGGTAGCTTATTTTAGAAGAAATCGGTTGTGGATATATTCTATTTACCCGGTTTGAAAAAATCCATAAAATAGCCAGATGAATAGAAGATCATGGCAGTCCGCAACAGAGCGGAGACGGGATTTGGCCGCGGAGCCAGATGAATAGAAGATCAATTTCGCCAACCGGCGAGGATAAAATTGGGAGAGTCTAGGTCGCCTGCCCATCCGTGCTTATCCGTCGGCTCAGGAAACAAGAGCCTTGGTGTTTTGTGGGATGGGAAACCCTGGATTAGCAGACGCGTGCCACAATCCCTGCAGAAAGAGCAGGATTCAAGGCTATTGAGGGTTTGGCCTTGGACCGTCCAATTGGACCTTGTGGCAAAAGCGGTGCTCGAGTGCTGGCTTCTCTACTAGTCTACTTTGAAGGTTCACTGCTATGAGGTTGCAGGCCATCGCTAGTAACCGCTAGTAGGTTGGAGGCTATCGCTATTATATAGGTTGGAGGCCATCGCAACTAGATTGCTATTAGCTTGGAGGCCATCGCAAGTAGGTTGGATGCCATCCCAGTGGTTACCGCAGGCGACCTTGCTGGCCATTGAGCTTATTTGTGGCGGCAGAAAAGGGCGACAACGTTACCGATCTTTTTGACATTTTCTTCTATTTGTTTAGGTGCTGGATCATGGCTTATCTGTGACAATTTTTTGGTTATTTTCTTCTATTTGTCTAGGTGGTTGATGGTCTCTGCATACCCTGGTTCCTTTTAGTGAGCTTCTTCTATTTGAGGGATAAATTCAATATTTGGCTAAAACTCGTATCTCCTGCTTGGAAGTATTGTTTCATATCTTCTACTATATCTTCTATAATAAGCGACCGGACTATACTTGGGAGGTCTAGGGCCTAGGGTGGCAGGGTGTGGCCTTTGTTGGCTGCTGGAACCAAGGGCCCAGGAGATAGCTAGCAGAAAAAGTACCCGTTAGGCCCCAGGCCACACGTTTGTGTATGATTGGTGCGCCCCTCGCCTCACCTATCTTCACCTCATAGGGCCTATAAACAATTCCATAAAGTTGGAGAAGGGTGCAAATCAATTGTCAATTATTAAAACAATGTGTTTTTTTATTTGGGCAGATTGGGAGTTTTTGTGGATTGAAAAGCTGGATAATGCTGCACTTAAGTGCATAGCCGCTCGCCCATTTCTGCCGCGAAGTACTGAAGTTGGTGGCTTCTGCCAAAGCCGCCTGCACCATCCTGCAGTCCTTGAGCTGCCCAAAGCAATCGGCTCCCATGGCCATCTGCTTACCGAACCATTTGAGCATCTGCATGACTCCCAAACGTCGGGGCCTGTTGACGGAATGCTTTTTGCAGGGAATTCAGGACCATCCACACGCGGTGCATCTTGTGGGTGATGTCCCCACGGCCGGCACCTGCTTCATAGTGGCCACCCACCTTCCCGTGGTCAAGGTACGGGGTCATCCATGCTTGCCTCCTGCTCCAATCACACCACTTCTGCCAGGCGGTGGCATGGGCCTTCTGGGTGCCACTCTTCGACCTGAGTTTGAACGTCCATGTTTGGGTTGAAGTTCGGGTTCAAGTCGACCCACTTCGCCCCGTTCGGTCCATGTGATGGTGCCGCTGACTCTTCTGCTGGCCCAGCAGGTCCGGTTCGGCCACGGAGGTCCATCTTCCACAAGCAGCAAGCCCCACCGCCACCGTGGCACGCACATCATAGAAAAAACACACCACTTCACGTCATAACACGTCGTGTTTTATGGTATGTTTATATTTTTTTATGGTTTGGGCAGAGTGGAAGTTTTTTGTGTTTTTTACACAACAAATACGGGGCGGTGACTAGCCTTTTGCCATACAATGTAGCTGAGAAACCATCCAAACGGACATTGGACAATATTGGATACATTTGGGCCAAACACTGGAGCAGTCCTAAGCCCAAAGCCTGGAGATGTAGAATGGGTTGATTGTTCCATTGTCAAGAAACATACCGACATGGGAGTGTCTAGCTTGCCCCCCAGCAACACATTTTATTGCAGCCCTGAAGTGCCTATTTTATACGCCGATTTATATATTATTCAAGCTATCGATATTTTTTTTTTCATAAAATCCAATTTAGCCTTTTCCACAAACGTTCCAAAAAGTCAACCTGGAAACATATCAAAAAACATGGATAGACACATACTTCTGGAACTGAGCCCTGTGCAGAGTTTATGAAGTCTTAACACTAGGGCAGGTCAACATTGTTTATGTTTTGGGTTTGCTTCGTGTTTGTTTGATGTTTTGGGATCCTTCGATATACTTCACTCCGTCAGAAGCCCTGGAAGCTCTCCCTGCCCTCTCCACTCGCCGGATCTGTTATTCGACGAATCGAAGCGCCGAGGCCTTTATGGCTCGCGGGAGGAATCGGGCATCTTCTATCTCATTGGGGTGCGCTTCCGGCGACAGGTCTTGAAGCCCTTGTTGGCCGCTTGATTTTGGAAGGGCAACAGTTGCTGCACGTAAGTTGTACGCGTGAATCGTTGGGTTTGGTCCGTGGGGGTCTAAGACAAGGACGAAGAGGAGTAGAGCGGCCTGCTTCATCCAATGGGTGGGAAGACAAATGTACACAGCCATGAGGCAAAGTGGACCCAGGTGGTTGGGTGGCTTTGGACTGATGGAAGAGTTCCGTCAAACTTCACCCTAGGCCTCCAAGTACCTTCTGAGAAGGTGTTTGGGGTCGGTGCCAGGAGGGTCTAGTCATACCTTTCTGAGGAGGTACTTGGAGAGGGTAGGGCCATGAAGAGTCGGAGTTTGCTCGCAATTATATACATTGAGCAACTCTGACTCTGAGACTAGCTACCGTCAGCTGTCCATTTGGCCGATCACCTGAAACGCGTGAAATGGGGGGATTGGGGAGGGTTTCCCGCTCCACGTTCCATTGGAGGTGGTTCGGTTTTTTCCAACCCTGGCTGGGCTCGGGAGATGAAACAAGTTCGCCTCTTCCCTATGGACCTGGAAGCACCTCGGAAAATAGGTATATTACTTGTTTTATCGGGTCATGTCCTATTTTCTAAGGTACTTTGGAGGGTCTAGGGATACACAACCCAGACACGACCTGTCTGGGACTGCCATACCCCCAGTCAACCACCGGCCGAGAAACTCGGCCGTCCTGGCAGTCCCATGGGTCAATCGTGTCTGGGCGTATTCATTCGGTATGTACGCTGGTGTCTTCACAGCCACAGGCTGCCACTGTCGGATCCAGCTGCCAGACTCCGGACCCGTGGATTCGGTGGACCGTAGACCGAGCGCGGGAAGGTCGCCAGACCTTAGACCTGACACCTTACACCGGGAAGATGGCGAGACCTTCAGTTCGTGACCTCTTTGGAGTCTCTGTTTGTGACTTCAGGGACTGAGTGACCTCATTAGGTCAATTGAAGGTCCTGGATGGCCACGGATGAGAGGTAGGGAGATCAGAGACTGGTGCACCGGCTCGACCCAACTGGAACCGGCTCGACTCTAACGCAGACTGTGGTGAAGGGGCGGAGCAGATATTGAAACCCGATGAATCCTGATACAAACTGACACATCATGGGACTGTAGGACCGTATGATGTGTCTCTTGGGATCCAGACTCGACTTGCGTCTCCACGTAGAACATCGTTTTAGGAAGCATTTGAGTCTCACCACTGCCAGGTACTTCACCGATCCCTCTCCCCACTATAAATAGATGCCGCGCATCTCGCGGGCATCTATATAGATCAAAAAAAAAAAAATATATATATATATAATTAAAGGTGATCAACAAAAAACAAAAAGAGGATCAAAACACATATTCCTGGATAGGCCACTTTTGCTGCTCTCCTGGCCCTGTGGTCTGCGGGTCCTCTGGTCCTTTAGTCCACTGGTCCACTGGTCCTTTGGTCCCCTGGTCCCTTGGTCCTTTGGTCTGTTGGTCCTCTGGTCCACAGGCCCTTTGGCCCCCTGGTCCTTTGGTCCTGGTCCGGTCCCGTGGTCTCCTGGTCCTTTGCCCCTGGTCCTCTGGTCTGCGGGTTTCCTATGGTTTTCTCCTTGTTTTTTCACTGATGCTTTTTGATGCCTTTGGTTATTTCTCTTGTAGGTTATTGGCCGCTTTTGGCTTCGGTTGCCTTATAAGGTCCTTTTGTGCACTTTTAGATGCCCTTTACTGAAAGGACGATAGGGTACATAGTTTCTAGTGATTTCTTTTGCGGTGCTGTGTTTTAACGTTTGGTTCGCTTTGGGGGGGGAGGCGCTGCGCCCTCCCCCCCAACCCCCCTCCAGCACCACGAAATCTGCACTCTTGCACTGCGCCTGCCACGAAAACTAACTATGTAAAGGGTCGCCCATCGCATTTGCAGATCACATATTGCACGTCGCCTAAGTCTCTTTGATAACTTGTTGCACATATCCTTTCATTGTTTGCTCCTGTTGATCTTGAAGCAGGTGTGAAGCGCTTCCTTTTTGTCAACGTAGATCGCTTCCACGCAGGGCACTTGCGGAACCAAACCGAGCCATCTAACTTTTGAAGGCTTTCAATTCAGTGTCTTTGCTGCTTGTTCCTGAAAGGCCATATGTTTGGGGGGGTGCTGGAGACTTGCGCATGCCATTGTAGTGTTGGCGTGTTAGTCCTTTTGAGGTGGCTGCTGCTGTCCCCTCCATTCTTCTATGTTCTAACTATGCTCTAAACACTGTGGGAATGCCACACAGGTGGATGATAGGGCCGGCCTTAGCTTCCAACACCTCTGCGCAGTGAAGGCTATAACAAGGCTCCAAGTAGTTATAGTTTCCATACTATAAAAGCCGTGACAAAGCCACAGAGGTGGTTGATAGAGCGCGCCCCTCAGCAATGTCCAGCATTTCTATCCTTTCGTTCTTTTGTGTCTGCCTGGTCCGATGTGTTTCTGTTGAAGGCTTTTGAGCCGATGCTCAACCCCAACCATCCTCAGTGGGCTAGAATATTTTTTGTGATTCCTTATTTTTTGGATACCCGTTGAATAGTGTTTGTTGATTCTATTTTTTTGGGATCCCTTACCCCATCCTGCGCATATCGTGGATCTGCACTTAGGTGGGACAGTCGGCTGACAGGGTGGAGGATCATATTCAGGTGAATCTCACCGCCGCAGTCCCTCGGCGGCGTTCAGTCGGATCTTCCGGAACCCAGAGACGGTGGGAATCCCAGACCAGACGAATGGGACTGGAATATATATTAAATATAATATATATATATATATAGTACTTATATTCAATTTGCACCATGAAAATGACCCATCCATGTAAGTAACTATTCAATTCATGAATGGTTTGGGGTTGCAGAGCAATCAAACCATTCCATGGGACTGGAATATGTTCATTGACTTCGGGTAAATCAACCACCTCGGTCAACACTTCTTGCAATGTAATGAAATAAAATATTGAGGCCAATGAGTCAGTATCATTTGTGCTGGTGCTCAGTGTTGCTCTCTCGGCATCTCACCAAAGTCCAAGCTGAAGCAAAGTATCGCCACCTGCTGAGTTGGATGACGCCAGACGCCTGAAATCTTTGAGATTCCATACGTCCTCAGGTCATCCAGGATGCCACCAGTCGGCAAGCCAGTGCGGCCTTTGGGCTTCGCAGGTGTGTGTCGCCGTGCGGCGGGTGGACCCGGTGACCGGAGGGGAGGTGACAGGAGGTGTCTTCCTTTTTGCTTGAATGGTTTGGGAGACTGGGTGGGCTAGTTCGGTGAGCAGGTACTTCATGTGTTGATCGAATTCGGTCCTGAATCCCCTGCACAACGGCGAGACCAAAAGCCTTCCATATTTGGACCTTTGAACTTTGAACTTTGAACTACTCTATTTATATGAGAAAGTTCAATGACAATCAACTGGTCATGTCTGGGTCGAATTTGGGTTGGCAAAATCATTGTTTCAATGACAATCCCTAGGGCTCCAACTTCCTCCTCAGTCCCACCGAACCGAAACGATACGGTACGACTGGAGCCCAAACAGGAATGACTTTGCCAACCAAAAAGCCATGACCTCTCTTGGTCATCGGACCAACGGCGGGGGGGGGGGGGGGCAACAGTAGCCTCGTCCCGCGCAGGCGGAGCACGGCAGCGATCCTACCCGATTCCTACAACGCCATGAGCTTGTGACTTGGGGCACCGGGCGGTCTGAGCGGTTCAGAGCTTGGAGGGGATCTCAGCTTTCAATCCCCTTGGGGATCCAGTCGTAGCTTCTCAGGTACGGTGATTGGAGACACTGTTATGTAGCTTTGGAGGGTCCAAGGTACTTGGATCCCTGTATTGTAAACAAAAACACAATTTGGGGTTGGTACTATAGGCATGAATTAGTATATAATGACATGGTAGCAAATCAGCAAATCCCAATTTCGTTGATTGCACCATGCAAGAGAGCTTCAAAGTCTATACTAATCATAATGGCCATGCCCGGTGGTACCAGGGAGGCATTCGGGACACCCATCTAAACAAGAACTGTTTGAAAGTTTGGTTACCTTTTCCATCCAGAGGCTCATGGACCCGAACCAACTAGCTACTGTATGTGTTGGTCTAAACCCCTAGGCCCACAAGAAGTGGTCAAAACTGTAGCTCAGTTGGATTGCAATGAAACACTCTCTTGACGGTATCTCTGATCTATTGTGCTACCCAGACGCTCTGTTCACAGCCCGACTGGTCCCTCAAAACCGGATTGGTTCGACTCCAGACCCCTCCATATACTCCAGACCCCTCCACATGAGGGCCCAGGGTCGCATGTTGGGTATCCCTCATTTTGCTCGATCGTTCACTGAGGGTCCTCCATTCGCCTTGCCCAACCAATTGGGTGGTTCCGTCGGAAGTGAGTGGAGTGAACAACCACACCGGTCTCGTGTGGACACGAAGGTCGAACGCTTCGATCGTCTGTGGTGCCTATCCCATCCACGTCGTTTTCTGGAAAATTCGATTCCAAGAGACGTCTCACCCTGGTACCACCGTGGTTTTTGAAGGAACCGGCACCGGGTTCTCCCCGCATGGGAACCCCAGCGGGGCTTCGCCTCCGTCGCACCGGCTCCGTCCGGCCGAACCGGGTGCCGTCCAGGTTCGGCACCACCGACCCCGCGCACGTCGAGAACGTCGAAGATGCGGTGCAAGCCGTGGGCACAGGCGCCGGTGGAGTACGTCGCATGGGGAACCCGTGACCGGGCGGTATCCGTGGTGCCATGGTGAAACGGTGTTGGGGGGTGGTGAAGATCGAAAGGAGATCGTGACTGGATGAGTTGATCGATAATCGATTGGTTTTTCAGAAGTTTCACCTGCACCATGGTCCTTTCAGAGATCCAGATTCCGGGGGTGAACTGTGATCTTGGAACTTGCAAGAGCCATGGTTTGAAACCGTGAGTGTGAAAGAAATCTCATCTTACCCTGCCCACACTGGCAATTTGGATATTGAACAACATGGCAATTAAAATTACTGTATGATTCATGATGATTCTGATTCTATACTGAATTACAACGCACATTTGGACAAAAAAACATAGCTCTTTGTCCACTAGTTGGCGCGTCTCGCCAGTGTGATACGCCAATCTAGCAGAGGGAGTTCCAGAATTGTTGCAGGGGCATGTACTTAAGCCATGTTTTTGAATAGAATGTGTCCCTAGGGCATGTAGAGTTCCGGAAATCACCTTTTGGGTCTTCCTACTCAGACTCTGGAACCAGCGTGTTTTCCCACGCGGCAGGTGAGTCGGAGGTCTTGAGCAACTTGAGTTCCATCAGCGATGAGGAGGACGAGGATGGACCATCAGGGCGGCCATGGAGGGGAGGCCTTGGCGGACGCTGCAGAACAAAGGTCTGAGCTGGAAAACACACACCGGTGGAAATCACCGGTGTTGTCTATAGAGTGAGTACAAATCCCTACAGCTCCAACCACCTTCTCAGAAGGTAGTTAGACCCCTCAAACCCACCCCAACCACCTTCGAAACGGAGGTGGTGCCCTGAAACATTTCACATCATTTCACAAGTTGCTTCGGTGTTGAGTGAAGATTCACACGATTTCTTCAAGCACTTCTAGCATTCTACCCCGATCAGATCCCTATAGGTATAGGTTTTGGGTTTTCACTGGCGCACTGGCGCACTCGTTTTGGTCTCCAAAGAAATCAAGAACCAGATAATCAGACCCAAGATTTTTCACCTGAAGGGACATAATAGTTGGTCAGTCCCCATAGATTCATAAATGTACATTCTTTATTTCGACTCTGAATCCTCCCCCAGATATGGAGCGCAACACTGGAAACCGCCGGGAGACCGTTTCTCGACGCTGGAGACGACGCCCAAAGGAAAGGGGCGGCTGGGGGTGCCCTTATGACGCCTACTTGGTTAGCGGATAAGATGTCATATGAGTCATGTATGAGTCATATGTCCTCACAAAAATGCATAATCAGGTTTGTACTTATGGGTTCAAGTGTTTAGTTCCCTTATGGGTAGAGTTGCATCACAGTGCTAAGAGAAGAGACGCTGTCACCCTGGGACTCCAACTAACTCCGTTTCGGTTCCCTACTTTCTGAGGATGTGGGCCAGGAGTCCTAGGGTCAGACAGATGTTCTTAAATTCCTACACATAGCGTCTCATCAAGTCCCAGATGTTTATGTATGTTTCTGTACATCTCACTTGTTGGTGCACCTGTCATCCACAGCTTCATGATTGTGGATCAAGCCGCGCACAGTGTATTCAAACAATCAGCTCCTTGCACATATCACATCAAATACATTTCCAGCTTTGTTTTGGAGATTTATTATTGTTTTATCTTGTCTTGGGAGTAACCAGCTAAGCACTCTTTTGAGTGAAGCGGACTGAGCGGACTGAGTGGACTTTCTGAGTGGGGCGGTTCTTGAGGCCTGGCCGGTGGAGGTTGCAGCGCCATGTTCCAGCCAAGTTTCCTCTCACCAGTTCGGCGATTACACTCCCTGCTTTTGTAGAATAGAGACGACCTTTTGATACAACGCCCAAGAAACCAAACAGTATGGAATCTATCCCAAACACTGAATAAAACTGGCATATCTACCCACATTGATTCATACCAGTCCGGAGTGTTTGGGTATATGATGGAAGGTGCCTTGAAATCGAAAGCTCAAGCTGCCTCCAGGAGAGCTTTGAGGAGGCATGACGGCCACACGCCGGCTAGCTTTAAGCTGCGAGCACTGCCAGAATGACGAACAGGGGCCTTTTAGAAAGCAGGTAGTGGTGTCGGAGATTGATTCCCATGGCACTGGGATAGTTCTATGTTTCAACATATTTCAACCTTTTACATGGGATAATGTTTCATCCACTTAGAACTTAGTACTGTAATATTTCTTCAAGTGAGTTGAAACCACCAGAAAGGTGTATGACCTCGCTTTACTTTTAGGCTTCGAGTGTAAACCCACAGTCCCGAAGACTGCAGGAGATCGTCCCTCCTTCCAAAGGGACAAACCGGTCGGTGTCCCTATTTGAGCTACACTTCCATGTGATGTCTTCGTTTGTATTGGCAGACGAAGATGTCCCAGACACAACTGATGGGATTCTCAATCGCCCCAGAAACACCGAAATCAACCACCCGTAAGGCTTTCCATAGTGCCATAGATGGAGTGTTTACAGGTGAACCGCCGCTTGGCTTTAGAGTTCGTCTGGTGGCTCTTCTAGGCGTGAAAAGTCTTTGATTCTGAATTTGCTGGCGTCACAGGATATATATTATATATCCCAGACACTCCATGGGACTGCCATAGGACTGCCGATCAGTTGGGGTGGTACCAGAGGGGTCAATGGGGCGGCATATATGGCAGTCCCATGGTGTGTCTGGGTATGTATACACACAATGCTTTCTAACTTACTGTTTGTTTCATGTTGAGTGGTGCTCGGGCTCAAAGGTTTATCACTTTGTGTAGAGGACTTGCTGGATGGGCGCACCAGCAATCACCAGCAATCATGAGCAAAGCGTCGGCGCCTCCGTCCAGTGCATCCGGCCACTTGTACAGGTCCACTGAGTGTGGGCGATCACAGCTGATCCAGCGTCTACCGCCATGAGACGTAGCAGTGTGGGTGAAGCTGAAGGATCACACCACCGACGGGACTAATTATGTTGCTTCGGAATTCATGGTCCTATGTCTGCCTTTTGGGGCGCCATCCACGTAACCATCCCCAGGGCTCCAGTCGTATCTTCGTTTCGAAGGAGTTTGGGATGGGTGCCAGGTCCAGTCATACCGAACCTGAGGAGGTACGACTGGAGCCCAAAACGGGCATGATCATTTCAGGTAGTCTAGCGGAATCCAGTGTTTTCTTATATATGAGTGTCTGAGATGGAGCCTTCACAGGCGACCTGGGTTTCTTTCCGATTTTGATTTATGTTTGCAGGGCTTGACAGTTTTCACTGGTGTGGAAGCAGCCCTAGCCCACCTGCACTTCTCGCTGTGGCGACCTTCGACTGATGCTTCGCCCTGCGGCCAACGACCAAACAAAACCAACAACCCGCGCGGGGCGCTCGTGGCGTGTGGTGTTTGTGGCGAGCGGGAGTTGCCCTTCCGTGAGGGTCGTGGGTCATGCGCAGCTTGGACCTTTGCACCGACGAAGGACGACCAAAAGTGACGAGCCAGAAATGACTAGGGAAGGTTTTCTGCACCAGAATAGACGCCCAACCTCTCAAAGATACAATGCGTTTGCTTCTTGGACAGCCCCTGACAGCCCAGGACAGCTAGGTTGCAGATGTCCATGACTTGACCAGGACTTCTTGTATGTTCAGCAGACAAATCTTGGAAATAGCCTGGGTTGGGTCCTGGCCATGCGAGATCGCGAGAGCTCCCGTGCCTTCGATGTTGTGAGGCACAGCCCAAGCCCTTGTCGAATTCGAACGACCATGGATTCCATGAACACTTGCCTAACGACCAGTGATTTGACTGCCCGGGCCCTCGACTATATCTCCCTTCCTTCCCGGGTGGATCCAGGGTGGATGGATCCAGTGGTGGCCTGCCATCTAAGGGGCCGACCCTGCGGGGTCTCCTTAACTAACAAAGCATAACAAAGCCTAACAAAGCCTCGTGGGTCACCAAAACCGGCCTTTTTCTTCTTCAGCTTCTTCCGGCTCGTTCCGATCGCCACGCCATGGCGCGGGCGTCGCCAGCGGTCGCGCGGTTCGGCCGAGCCATTGCTGGTTAGGCGGTCTCCCGCGGGTTGCGACGAGCGGTGGCGGGCGAGCGGGCGGGGGGGGGCAGTGGGAGGTGGTGGAGTTGATGAGGTCCAGTCAGGAAAGGTTGGAGTCCAATGAGTTTCCGTGATCGGATCTTGCCTTTTTGCGGGTGAACAAGCTGCGGTGATGTGACATCTTTCCCGGATGGAAGTGGACCGGCATTTTTGATGTGATTGGTCCGGTTCCTGGACAGCAAGCCAGCGATCTATAGTACTATACCATACTATTCCTCTCTTTTGGTATGCTTTAGACCCTTATGTGGCCCCTTGGGTTCATTAGGGATTTACGACTCAACCCCTAGTTTGCTTAAGCCCTCAAGCAGAAGATTTGTTCAGACCGGCAAGAGGAGAATAGGATCCACTATTTATGTGTATATAAGAGTCTGACTCCTACTACAGCTGTCCTAGCATGGGTCCTACCAGAGCTTTTTTTCTCCATCACTAATGATGGCGTGTAGTGAGTAGGCTGCTGGGATATGGAAACTCTTCCCCTGCGTGTGTTTTGCTTCGGTATACGACCGGACGCATGTCTCACGAGTCACCAGTCACCGTGTGATGGGACCTTGATGGACCTTGGCTTGGGAGAAGAGACCATCTTCGGCACGTCATGTATCTAACAGAGCCACTGGGCGGATTGATGTTTGGCGGTGCGGAACTCACCTGGAGGAACTGGGCGCAGGAGGACGTGGACACCGGAAGCTTCCGCGTGTAGGGATCATTCGTCGTCCAAGGGACCGTCTCCACATCCTTGTCCATTGTACCATGTTCACATGATACTCTCCCTAGAACTATATAACATGGAAGTGGAAAACCACCTGTTTGTAGTGGAAAATAGTCTTCCAAGGAGACATTCTCCACTTTCATGTTAGTTCTAGGGAGCGTACCCTATATATTCTATAGACGGTGTCTTGCCAATACAGAAATCACCCGACGGTGCAGCACTGATCTTGGACGGCCATAGTATCGCGCATACCAAGAGAGGTTAAGTGACCGGAACAAGGTCCCTACTGAGCTACCTATATGGTATAGTCTATTATAGTCTAATTATAGGGCTCTTCAACCTCCGTTGGTAGGTTACCTGATGTGTCAAAGTCTGAGTCAAAGTCCTGGCCCGGACGCGCTTTTGAGCGCGAGTGGCGAAGTCCTTGGGGCCTCCATAGCAGGGGTCTGGACCTGAAACCAAACCCAATGATGTGTTACTTCGAGCCCAGATTCTATAGGGTAAGAAGAATGGAACATGATTCAACAACCTGGATCCGACTTCAAGTACTACGAACATCTACGAATTGAGACTCCAGGAAGTAATATGTTGCTCAACAGTTCAGGGGCCCTGTCGCAACCAGGTGCGCAGGATTCATGTCCGATTTGATCTGAACATTGCTTGTACATGAGAATTGTTTTTGAACAAAAGAGAGGCGGATGATGGAGGACTTGCAGGCCTTTTCGACTCTTGGACTATATATCGAGAAGTTGGGTGTGCGGGACAACCTAGTAAGATTTTGGGGATTGGTTTTCTCTCTAAACAAGGACGAGTGGAAAACACTTATATAATAACGTCTATTTTCAGAACAACTGAAGGAGTTAGGCAATGCATGTCCGCTCCTGTATGCCGGACCCCGTTGGAAACGGGGTCAAGAACCACCTCTTGGGAAGGCTGTCCACCATCCTGAAAAGTCTGTCCGTCCTCCTTGTCTTCCTCCGCAGAGACAATTGGGACAATCAAACCTAGAACCCACTGGACCTTTGCTTTGGAGCCCCAACATGGTGTTGTCCTTTCAAACGATTTTGAACCAGTGGTCTCACGAATGCGAGAGAGACTCCGAACTCGACAAAGCTAAAAAACCCACCACTGGGCTTCATTAGCTCCAGCTTCCGGACCACTTCTGGGTCATGCAGGTTCAGAGATCTAGAATATACATACCAACACCAGTCACCAAGTCTGCTGCTACCAGCTACATCTGTCGTCTCCGCTGCCTAGACACCCTCACAAGGGCCTCAAAACGGCCTCGCCTGGGTCCTGGTTTTGCTGTTCACCATGGGTGAATCCCCTTCTGGGGAAGATCTATTGGTTCCACCGGTTCCTCAAGCAAATCCAAGGATGTTGTTTTGACACCTGGAGCCACCACCAGAAGTTAGCGTTTGTAGAGGTGCTGACCTCTTCAGAGCAGCGCCACCTGAGGAAAGCCAGCCAGTGGCAGCTGGCACTGGGCGTCAGCTGGCACTTGGGTGCCATCCTCGGAAACGCTGGTGGGTAGAACATGCAGAGCTTTTTTTTGGCCCTCTAAAGGAGGTGTGACCTCTTAATAGGCTAATGAACATTCAATGATCCCTAGGGCTCCTGGCCCATCTCCGTGAGGTTCGGTGGGGGGTAGGGGTGGGTGGATGCCAGGGGGGTCTAACCACCGGTCACCTGAGGAGATGGGCCAGGAGCTCTAGGGGATGTTATTCATCAAGAGTCTACAGTACCCATCATCCATCCAGATATTGGCCGATCGACGTTCCATCTAAAGAGAATTTCTGCGGAACTCCGGAGTTATCCGGAGGAGTGTTAGGAGATCCAACCCAGGAAGTACGGGGATAACTTGTCTTAATAACCTTTTTAGGGGGATTTGGGGAGCAGGTTAACCTGTGTTTTCCAGGGGAACCGGGGGTCAGGCATAGCTACCATAGTCTTAGTTTCAACATAATATTGGGTTTCTTCCTGGAATGGACAAACTGTTGCACAAACATTCACATATATTATATTACATTATATACATCGTAGCTTAGATGCCCTTCTACCAGTGGTTGGTTGGATAATACATACATAAAATACCCATGGACACCTCAAGTGTTCAACTTACAACCAAATGGTACATGATACCAAAGGGTGTGAAAAGGACATCATTGGTGTATATAACAATGTGGGCAATGCCAGATTGCCCAGAAACCCAGGACCTCTGGGCTGCT